GGTTGACAGCTCTAATATTTATAGAGAAATCTCCCTCTTCTGCATACAGAAGAAACCCAAGCAGTCCCCAAAGGACATGTTCTAGAGCTTAACCGCCCAAGTTCAGCTCCCACAGCCTTCACTTACTTTTTTATCTCACCACAAGCAAGTTAATTCACTTCCCTGTGTTTTTCTTTCCTTATTTGTAAAATAGAGACAATAGTACTATCTCAAAATTTTTTCCAAAAAATAATGCCTGTAACAGGTCTAGTACATTTATCTAGAACTTACAGACATTCAACTCATATCAGCTGTTATGATTCTGCAAGTGTGGAGGAGGAGCAGATAGGAGTGCAGTTAATGTTCTTTGTTGTTTCTGATGATTTGTATTCTTTTCTTTTGGCACACAGCTAGCGCCTTCAGAAACTGGATAAGTTCTAGGGACCTGTAGATTCCTATATTATTATATATTTGATAACTCATATCTCAATATCAAATGATTTATTCCTAATTTTTACATTTACAAATGCTTTTTGACATTTTAATACTTCCATTTATTCACTTGTTTATACAGAAGAGATGCATGCCTTTTCAAACATGAGATCTTTGTCATCCCTGATAAGATATGAAGTGCTTAATAAAGTCTTTCCATTAGGGATATAACATCATGTCATTTGCCATTCAAAAAAGCTACAATTTACCTCCTGGTCTTTTTATCAGTAAGGTATTTCTCCTAATCATGACAATACATTTCCCTCAGTCTCTTAATATATCATTTCCAATAACTTTTGGCAATAAAACTTTGGCAAAGAAACTTGCTCAAAATCTTTTGTTTTTCTTTTCTAAAACTGAAGTAATACCCAGTTGTTTCTCTTTTACATATGTTCACATGAAGTTACTTCAAATGATTTCACTATAAAAAATAATCCCAAAGGGTTAAGATTAAAGTGAATAAAATTACAAATGTAATGAAGATAAGCTTAGATCTGTTGATCAGATTCTAAGAGGCACCAGTAGATTTAAGAAATTTTCCTGGAGTTGAAAATAAAATTATTAACTCACAAAAGTACTCTACCAATTCACGCAAAAGGCAATGCACAAGAGAAATATACAGCCTAAAAGACATAGAGCATGAAAATATATATAAGTATACAAATCAAATACTTCCTTAAAAATCATTCCAGGATTCTGAGAAAGCCCAAAATTACCTGAGGCTTATCCTTATTAGTAATTCTTCAATGTTTCAGACAAGATGGTGTTAACGTCTACAATCTGACTAGGCTTTGTACACAGACACACTAAATATTGTGTAGAAATTTCATTTTCAGCCAAAACTGCCAATCTTTTCAAAGACCTCTGCATTTCTTTTTTGGGTTTTTATTCAATGTCATGGCCAAACACTTTGGTTGTTTAGCATCTGGCAGGAGCACCGTGAGAATGGGGTTAGTGTCAGTGATGTGTGTATCAGGGAAGGAGGTAATTCTATATATGCCAATCATATGAGCTTTGAGCTACAGATTGAATCTGAAACTTTGCATATTTAAGTTTGTTTTTCTCTGGCAAAATAACTCCTTCTGTTCTTAGAAGAGAAAATTGCTGAAGCACACCTTCTTGAGAAAACAGCTAAAATTGGTTCTACATCAAAAAGCTCATAAAACTAATAATTGATGATATAAATGCAAATAAATTAAAAGCACATGGATGAAAATTCCTTTAAAATACACAAAGTTGTAGAATATATATTGGGATTTTCCTTAGTCTGGCATGGTTGAAAATTAATTTAAAATGATTGGAGCATTAAAAAATGTGGCCAGGCTCAGTGACTCCTCAGACATGTGCTACAAAAATAGTATTTTATTTCCACTCAGAGTTTTTGTGGTTGGGGATCATCTACCTCTTTGTTTTTATGGACCCCCAATTGTAAAGAGCCTCTGGGAGACCAACAAATATGTAAAAAGTACCAAGACCTAAGGGTTACTTATTAAGGGTGAAACAGATTTTAAAACAACCCACTTGTGAATGATTCATCTCAAACCTAGATGTAGCTCTCTACTTACAATTCATTAGATTAATAAAATTGGTTCCATAGTTCACAAATCACTAGCTGACAGCATATGTACAAACTTTATTTAGAGTTTTCTTTTATTTAAAGTGTTCTTATTTCTACAAAATTCTCATCCAATTTCTGTACAATGCAAGTTGTGTGACTAAAGATTAGAGTCACTCAGAACTACATATTGACATTTAAATTTTTGTCTTCTTTCAGTTTCACCTAGCTAAGAGCCATAGATAGAAAGAAACTGTTGTCAACGCATACAACTTCATAGAAAAACTACTGACTAATTCCAAGATAAATGTTGTGATTTGGAAATCTCCCCCAAAGTCTTATGTGTCAAAGGTTTGGTCCTCAAACCATGGTGCTATTGATGGGTGATGGAAACTTTAAAAGGTGGGACTTAAAAGTTCTGGTTGTCAGGGGCTTGCCCTTGAATGGGACATTAGGGCACTTCTTCCTCTCTTTCATTCCTTGTAGTAAGATAACCAACTTTGTTCCACTACTCATTCCTCCCATGAACTGTCTACCACAGATCCAAAAGTAATGGAGCCAATAAATCATGAACTAAAATCCATGAGCCAAGATAAACCTTATTGCTTTATAAGCTGATTACCTCAGGCATTTGTCTCAGTGATAGAAAGTTGACCAACACAGAGCACATTTTATATATGTCCACACAGACAGCCCACCGCTATACACATTCTGGGAGTCACATAACTCTACAGTCAAGATTTTCTGACTGCCGAGAACATCCAGGGAAAGCTATTCTGGCACAGAGGAACTTTCATTAACCAAAATGGTTAATTGACAAAATCTTCAGAGGAGACTCTTCAGAGACAGTTTGGAGTCAGGAGGGGAAAAGCTGTCACAATTCAGATGGACTCACTTGTGCCAGACCTAACAAAATTTCCTAAAGACAAGAGGTTTTAAAGAAGTGATCTTACACAGGACTAATAAACATCCAAGCTCTTGCAGGCACCTCTGACAGAAGACAAACTCATATTTTAGGTCAAGGCCTTCTATTTAAGTAAAAAACAAATTATTTTTGCTGGATCCAAACTTATCTTTTTAGTAGTACATGCTCATGGAGTTATTTTCCCTGGGCAATCTATTTAACTTGGAGTTTTCTGACTTTTATTTATTCTGTATTCTACTTTATAAAAGTGTTTCTAGTTTTAAACTTAAATAACAAATACTTTTGATTTAAAAAAAAAATTTTCTGACATTTACCTGCCTTGTACACAGCCTCCCTTAAAGATCAGTCCAAGCCCCACAACATGAATACTATCCTGGTTTCCATCATCCCCCGACCCCAGCTTGCTCCTTCCTGCCTTTGGTATCTCTTGTTTCTTCCCACTCTTCTATAAATCATTTATCCTGGGTAACCATATTCAAATCATTCTGTTTCCATGAAGATGCTGTCTGAAGACAGCATCCTATGCTAAGTACTGCTTTCTTAAACTTACATCTTATTTTCCCCTGTCTACTTTTTTTTTTAAATATAGGTGGTCAATCTATCTCAAAATTAAAATTGTAAACAGTTAGAGGACAGGACAATGCCCATTATTTCCTTCCTATCATTCTTTGATAGGAAGCAGAAAATATTCTTCTATGTTTAGCAATATTACCATTTATACAGTTGCGAAAATGGCGGTACATAGGTTAAAGTAACTGGTTCGCAGCTAACAGAGGAGCCAGGATTACAAACTCAGACAATATGAGTACATTGTCTATGTTCTTAACATAGGGATTAACAAACTACAGCCCTCCTGTGGCCGGTTTTTGTATAGTCTGTAAGATAAGAATGGTTTTTACATTTTTAAGTGGTTGGGGAAAAAAATCCAAGAAGATTATTATTTTTTGACACATGAAAATCATATGAAATTCGAAGTCTAGTGTCCATAAATTAAGTTTTATTGGAACCCAGCCAACTAATTCGTTTACATAGACTGCTTTCCTGTTACAGTGGCAAAATGTTAAGAAGTTGCTACAGACACTGGAAGGCCCATAAAGCCTCAGTATTATTTACCATCAATCCCTACAGAAAAAGTTTCCCCAGCTCCAGTTAAAACCATGAAAGTATCCTGTCTCAAAAATAACATCAAAGATAAGTGTTATGAAGGTACTGATTTGTAATAAGAGATATGGGGGGAGGTTGTTTATGAAGGATTATGGAGGACTTTCTCTTTGAAGAGCTGAAAACTGGATGAGGACACCGGGGGAAGGGTGTCTCAGGCAAAAGGTTTCTCAAGAACAAAGTCCCTGAGGCAGGAATGAACATGCAGATTGTTTGAGAAACAAGTGGAAACCCCAAGTATTTGCAAGTGTAATGAACTCGGGGAAATGCAGTAGAAAATGAACTTGAAGGGGAGACAGGTGTCAGGCAGGCTACGATGGAAAAAGCTCTTTGGATTTCGTTCTAGCGAGGCTGCTGTGGTAGACTGGGTTATATAGGTATGGTCTGCTGCACTAAGTCCAGGGAAGAGCTGATTGAGGCTTGGGGAAGGATGGTGCCAGCTTCTGAGTGTCGCTTCGTGAGCGAGAGAATACCCGGGGAGCCAAAGAACCACGCTGGCAAGGCTAGGGAACAGAGGCAGGATGTTGTTCCATATCAGAAAAGATGGAAGAACCCCAAGTAAGGCTTATCATTGACCCGGGCAAAGCAGAGAAAGAGAGCGGGGTGCGGAGGCAGGGAGATGGGAGGCGGGGAGGGGGCGGGGCGGGGCAGAAGGCTGCCAGTCGAGAGGCGGCAGAGATGCGGAGGCTGGAAGCCAGGCTCCAGGCTGGAGAGCGGGGCGGAGGGGCGGAGGAGCCCGGCGGCAGCGCTCTTCCGTAGCTCCAGGGGGAGCCTCCACCTTGGCCTCCATCCTCCGCCGCCCGCCCCCGCTCCTCCGGCCCTCCTCCCTTTTCCCTCCTCCCTCCTCCCTCCGGGCTGACCCCGCCTCCTGCAGTCCCTCCAGTCCCCACTACCCAGGAAGGCGGTGCAGGTTGCGATCTCCGCTTTCGCTTTCCCTTCCCGTGCCCACTCCTGCCTGGCTCCTCGTGCAGCGCTAGGCTCCCCCCACCCCGGCCATGGCCTTGCTCAGGGTCCAGCCCGACGCCCAAGCCAAGGTGAGCGCTGTGGGTTCCAGGAGGGGGCCATTAGGGAGGCGTGGCTCCAAGAAGCTGAGGGCTGCCGCGACTTGCCTCCCATCCCCGATCTGGGTCGGGGTCAGTCAACCGAGCCTACTTCCCGGGAGCGTCTAAGTCCCTGGGAGTGGCGAGGCGGCTGTGGTTCAGCGGGGTGAGGTGGTGCGAAGAGCTAGCGCGGAAGGGAAGACCGCTGGGCCCGGCCACACACAGACGAGCTGCGGGACTTACCCCTGCCACTTCGTGGTCCTTTCCTTCGGAAGGGCCCCGGGGCAAACAGTGCATTCAGCCCTTGTCCACTCGCAGAGGGCTCTAGCATCCCTCCTCACACAGCCCAGGCGACCCAGGGATATTCCCACATGAACCATTGACCGCCAGGAGTGTTCTCATCCTCCACATTCAGCCCCCCTGGGGATCCACTCTACCCTCCCTTGGATCTACTCAGCAGTTGACAACTACAGTCCACCCTAACAGGGATCTTCCAGTCCACCCTTCCCTACGTCAGGCCCTACACAACCCCTAGGGAACTGACCTCAAAAAACCTGACCTTAAGCCATGTTTCTGAAGGGTGGTCTGTGCTCCACAGGTGGATGTGTTTCGTGAAGACCTGTGTACCAAGGTAAGACCTGTCCCATTAGCACCCCTACCCCTGCCCAACTTCTACTGCTCAGCCCTCCCTTGCTGACCTCATCTTGATTTGACCTCGTTTTCCTCCACCCCCACCTCACACAGACAGAGAACCTGCTTGGGAGCTATTTCCCCAAGAAGATTTCTGAGTTAGATGCATTCTTAAAGGTAACAGGACCAGTTGGGGAGTTAGGGAACAGGGGCCAAAAAGAGAGTCTGGGAGTCATGAGTGAGGAGGCAAGAGGGACACCCTGGTCTTTAGCACTCCTCCTACCCTACACCAGGATCCAGCTCTGAATGAAGCCAACCTGAGCAATCTGAAAGCCCCATTGGATATCCCAGTGCCAGATCCAGTAAAGGAGAAAGAGAAGGAGGAGCGGAAGAAACAGCAAGAGGCAAGCCAGGAGACCTGGGAGGAGGGGGCCCAACCTTGGGAAAAATCAATCTTGGTCCTATCTCCCATGAGTTCCTCTCTCCCTGCAGAAGGAAGACAAGGATGAAAAGAAGAAAGGGGAAGATGAAGATAAAGGTGCTTGAAATTAACTTCCTGGAAGAGACTTCCACTGTGCAGGAGCTCCTCCCTAAGGATTCCACTGTACTCTCCCCTTCCCTACCTTCACACATGTAGCTGACCCACTGCCCACTCTCTAGGTCCTCCCTGTGGCCCAGTGAACTGCAATGAGAAGATTGTGGTCCTTTTGCAGCGCCTCAAGCCTGAAATCAAGGATGTTATTGAGCATCTCAACCTGGTGAGCACTTCTATCTCCAGGCTTCAGGTCAAACGCTTTGTCCTCTTGGTCCCTGCCAGTTAGGGCATGACACTTGCCAGGTCTTAGAAGTGAAGCCAGCAGTCCAGGCCCCAGAACCAAGATGAATCTGGCCTCCCTCTGTCCAGTGTGGGCAGGAAAGCAAGGGAAGATAGGAGCCTGGGAATTGGGTGGCTGACGTGGCTTATCCCCTCTCAACTCTCAGGTTACTACCTGGCTGCAGCTACAGATACCTCGGATTGAGGATGGAAATAATTTTGGAGTGGCTGTTCAGGTAAGGGCACTGCCACCTAACTCCCCTTCCCTTCTTTGTAGCCCATGCCTCCTTCCAACACCCTCTCCCCACCCCACGCACCGTGATTTCCCCAGGAGAAAGTGTTTGAGCTGATGACCAGCCTTCATACCAAGCTGGAAGGCTTCCACACTCAAATCTCTAAGTGAGTGGTCACCTCCACCCCCATGTATATTCTGCCTTTGTTTTGGGATAGAAGCCTGGGCTCCCTTTCTTTTCCCACACCATACACCCACCCTACTTCTACTTCCCACAGGTATTTCTCTGAGCGTGGTGATGCAGTAACCAAAGCAGCCAAACAACCCCATGTGGTAGGTGAGGCCCAGTCAGGATGCACGGGGTAGGACTTACTTTAAGTCAGCCTGACACTGAGTTTCTGCAGGGTGACTTTCGGCAACTGGTGCATGAGTTGGATGAGGCAGAGTACCGCGACATCCGGCTGATGGTCATGGAGATCCGTAATGCTTACGTGAGGAGGCAGGGGCAGGGGTGGGCAGAGGCACCTTTTTCAGGCTACCCACTTTCTAACCTTGCAGGCTGGGGATGGAAGATCACAAAGCTCAGCCTCTCCACAAGGCTAGAAATGGGGCACAGAATCACAGTGGGCCTGTGTCTGACCCCCACTCCTTCCTGGCCCTATAGGCTATATTGTATGATATCATCCTGAAGAACTTCGAGAAGCTGAAGAAGCCCCGGGGAGAAACAAAGGGAATGATCTATTGAGAACCTCTTCTCTCTTCTGTGATGCCTACAGCAGAGACCTTCCTATATTTTGCCAGGGATTCCAGACTTTCCCCTACCTTTTTCCTGTTGCAATTTCTCCCTCACTTTGCTTCCCAGACACAATAAATAAAGTCATATCATTGCCCACCAGCCCATCTCTTTATTGTATTCTGATGCTGGCCGTGGCTCAGGCATTTCCATTTCTACTGGTAGGACCAATCCATTGGGTGATTTGGGTGTTGAGCTGCTGGTTGGTCCAATCCTGCCGGATGTCATCAAGGTGGCAGTCAAAGTCCACAAGGTGCTGATGGGCCCGGCACTCCAGTAGTGCTCCCACCATCTGCCGTGACTCTTCCCAGTCCCTCCACATCACTCTGAAATAGAAAACCCTGTGAAGATCAGACAGTGGGCATTGGGGCCATACATAGACTAATAGGCTGCGTCATGAAAAGGAACCTTGAGGCAGGACCAAGGACAGAGAAGGTCAGAAGCTTTGGGTTTCCAAGAAGAGGTGGAGAGAATGGGGCACTTACAAGTTCTTGTCCTTGGGGACCCAGCGGAGACCTTGGCTCTCCAGGACAATGACTGGAGGCACACGAGGCTGAGGCACCAGTTTCTTATTATCCAACTGGGTGGACAAAAAACAGTTGAGAATTTCAAGGATTCCCCCACTTTCTCTCTCCCTCCTCACCCCTAAATCCAAGTCTTACCATAATAAGTACTGCATCAGGGAAGAATTCTGCAATTCGCCCAGCAATTTTCAAGGCCAGAGGCCCAGGGCTGTGTAGAGGGAAGATCAGAGGAGTGAGGAGCCGACTCTGTGGACAGACCCTATTCATCTGAGGTGGGCCTCCCAGGTCTCATAGATGTGAGTGCAGTTGTAGCCTTTCCCTTTCGCTGGCCTGAGGGAGGAGGGTGGGCAGGCCTGCTTGATGCTTGATGCACGACTGCTTGATGCTTGAGTGCTGTGGGAAACAGGTGCTCAGACACTGCTGGTGAAAGTGGAAATCAAAGGTGGTCTTTTTGAAAGGTAATTTGGCATAACCAGATTGAAATTATATACTATATATGCTAATCAAGAAATTCCACTTACAAAGAATTTACTGGGGCCAGGTGCCTGTAGCTCTCCTGTAATCCTAGCTACTTGGGAGGCTGAGATCAGGAGGATTGAGGTTTGAGGCCAGCCTGGGCAAATAGTTTGTAAGACCCCATCTCCAAAATAACCAAAGCAAAATAGACTGGAGCAAAATCAAAGCAAGCAGTAGAGCCCTGAGTCCAAACCCCAGTCCCACAATAAAAAAAAAAAAAAAATTAACTGGGACCTGGCGCTGTGGCTCAAGCCTATAATCCTAGCTACTTGGGAAGCAGAGATTGGGAGAAGTTTGAGGCCAGCGGGGGGCAAAAAGTTCTGGAAACTTCAGTTGCTGGGTGTGGTGGCACACACCTGTCATCCCAGCTAGGGGGACAGCAACAAGTAGAAGAAGGAGGACAGCCAAGGTGAGACCCTATCTCAAAAATAACCAACAAAAAAAAGAGCTGGTGGATTGGCTCAAGAGCTAGTATGTCTACATGGAAAGCATGAGACCCTAAATTCAATCCCCAGTACTGCCCCCACCCAAAAAAAAGTGTGAGAATATTTACTGGGGACTGGCAGTGTGACTCAAATGATAGGGCACTTGCCTATCATGTTCAAGGCCCTGGGTTCAATACCCAATACCAAAAGAAAAAAAAAAAAAACTTGGAGATAACCAAGATAGCCAATGCTTAATGTAAGGCATTAAATTAATTATGGTAGATTCACATTCATGCTAGACAACTGTTAGAATAAGGTAGAACTTGGTGCGGAGATGGAAAGATGTCAAAAATCTATTAAATGAGGAAAAAAGCAAATCACAAGCTTTTTTTTCAGTACTGTGGGTTGAACTCGAACTCGGGGCCTCTCGCTCATTAGGCAGGCAGTCTACCACTTGATCCGCCAGCCCACAAAACTGTATCTGAATCGGCGCCGGTGGCTCAGGCCTGTAATCCTAGCTACACAGGAAGCACAGGTCAGGAGGATCCCGGTTCGAAGCCAGTCTCGACAAATAGTTCCTCGAGACCCTATCTCGAAACAACCCTTTGCAAAAAAGAGTTGGTGGAGTGAGTGGTTCGAGTTCTAGGGTCTGAGTTCAAGCCCCAGTATTGGAAAAAAAAAAAAAAAAACCAAAACCCAAAACCCGGTAACTTGATACACATCTGATATATATCATTATATAAAAAGTTGCTGTTGTTTGAAGTTGCTAGTTGGGCTTCCTTTGTGTTTTTTCAGCACTTGGGGGGCACCTCAGTTAACGCAAGATCAGCCGATCCTTGCTGACATACACTTGTCCTTCCCCCCACCCCAGCTTCTCCAGGGCAGGGCTCCGTCCTATTCGTCTTTACATCTCCTCACTCCAGTACCCTACACAGTGACTGGTGTGCAAACCCTGGTCTTAAGCGTTTGATGAAGAAGAGATGGAATGACCTTGGTTCATTTGCACCCCACCCACACCCGTCACAATCTTTTGCTTTCTGCCTCTTGCTACCCCACTCACCTCTGGTCGTCCAGAGCTGCATTGGCATGGTAGTACCCAGCTACCACCAGACCGGCCTGTGTGCCCCACACATCCACCTGTCGTGGGAAAGGGGCCATCAGTAACTAAATCGTGCCGCTGGCTCTGTGGGTGCGCACGGCTGCCAAGGGGCAGCATGAACTTGGGCTTAGGGATGTTAGGGGGTTCGTGCGTCCAGCGGCGGCACCTGGTTGAGGGCGACCTCCAGCATGACGGACAAGGCCAGGTGGCTGTGGAAGAGGGGCACACAGTCGGTGAGGCACAGGCATTCTCCGGACCGCGGCGCAGGCGCCAGCAACAGCCCGTTGACCGCAGCGTGTGGGTACCGGGCGGCGTGCAAGCACATCTTCACGTAGGCCCGGGCCGAGATCTCCACCTCCCCCATGGCGAGTGCCTGCCGGGAACGCAGCTAGCCCGATTAACGCCGGTTCCCCCACCTCACAAAAGCGAGCTTGGCCTTTCCCTGTGCCTCCTCACTTAGGTTCGACCGTGACGCCAAAACCAGTGAAAGGCAGCCTGCGGGATCTGAGCGACCTCGGTCCGGAGCCCGACCCCAGCGTGGCCCAGGAGGACCGAAGGCAATCCCGACACCAAACTCCACCTTCCCCCGCCCCTAGCAGGCGGGCGTAGACCCGCTCTGGCGCTCGGCCTCACTCTCCTCTGAAGTCCCGCCCACGTGGTGTTCTCTGATAGGTCTAGAAGTTCTTCCTCTATCCAATAAGCGGCTGCATCCAGGTCTTGCCCCGCCTTTGTCTCAAGCGAACCGGAAAGAACGCACAATTGTAAAGGAAAGAAAATTACCTATCCGCTTATTGGCTAGGCTACCGGACCTCTGCCTCTTACTGCAGGTTGTCCGCGCCAGTTAACCTGTCCGGCCCGCCCTCACGGCTCACAGCCGAGTCAGCGTGATGGAGCGCTCGCCCACAGTCCGGTGTCTCGGAGCAAAGGATGTTTGAAATCCGGGTCAAAGAGGACCGCCTTGCTCCTATGATAGAATGAGTGGATCTGCCCTGTAGGCCATCTCCGTATTACCTTTTCGAGGGCAGGTTATCTGGCCCTTGGCTTCTTTAATGTAATGTAAAGGTCCATGGTCTTTCAAAGATTAAATGAGATATGCATGGGCGCGGACTTCCAAATTGTCAAGTGCTTTGCAGTACCTTCTTATCCCACGTTTGAAAAACAGTACAATACCCTGAATTAAACAATCTCATGGAATTTGTGGCAAACACCACAGCAGAGGAACTTTTGTCTCCTCAACCCTCTTAAAAGTGAATCCTGAAAGGAAAAATAAAGACCATAACTGGTTGAATAAGGGGGCCAGAGAGAGAAAGAAAGGCAAGCGCGGCGCTGGTGGCTCATACCTGTAACCCTAGCTACTCAGGAGGCAGAGATCAGGAGGATCGCAGTGTGAAGCCAGCCCGGGCAAATAGTTCAAGAAACCCAATCTCCAAAAATAAATAAATAAATAAATAAAAATCATAAAAGGGCTGGTGGAGTGGCTCAAGGTATAGGCCCTGAGTTCAAACCCCATACCACACACACACAAAAGGCAAATTGTCCTCCCAATAATGTTCTGTAATACATTTCTTTTACCACAATGCCTTTGAAGGACATTTTCTCCCTGCCTGCCCTTACCATTCACCCTTAATCCTCCCAGGGAAACCTCATTTTCCAGATTTGCTCTGAGCAGATGAGGATTGCTCCTTTATCATTCCTGTACCTTGGCCACAGAACTTTTCCCTGTGGAACCAAAGTTTGATTATTCCTCCAAGAGCTCTGGCTAAATGCCAACTTTACCATCAGACCACAGAGGGAAATAACTTTGTGAAATTCCAAACTATAGGTTACCTGCATGTCTGGCATGACATGTAACATCTTCCAACCTGCACTTTAGGAAACCTGTTAAGGACAGGATGGGCTCCAAATTCATTTTGACCACCACATTCACCTTCATCATCAGGACATAGGTGGCACTCAAAAAATGCTCTTTGAATGAATGGCACAAAACAGAAGCAATCCACAGAAAGTAAAAGTCATTTATTTTCCTTCTAGTCTTGAGCTCAGTACATAGATGGCTTCTCTTCACCCTTTGGGTTGACAATTTTCTCCTGGTTGTTGCTGATGATATGATAAAGCTCAGCCTAAAGGAAGGCCAAAACATCCAAAGTTAGGTTCTCGGCTTTTCACCCCTCCATCTGACTCCCTTGGGGCTTACTCCACACTCACATAGAAGGCCCTCAGGTCCAGCACCATTCCCCTGAGTTCTCCATAGGCTGCTTCATCTCGCTCATGCACCAAGGCCCGGTAATCCATCTGGGATGTGGGAGGCAAAGCTGAGTCAGCCCCACAGGAGGGTGGAACATTGATTTTCTCATATAGAGAATAGGTAACTTGGAGATAAACCCAATCTCACCACCAACAAATGGGATCACAAAAGATCATGCAGAGAAGAGAATCCATCAGTTTTTCTAGGCAATACTTCTAGCTTAATCTTCTCCATATTGGGAAAGTCATGTACAAGACAAGGAGGACCTCTTCCCCTCACCTAACTCCACCCCCAACTAGCCTCAGCTAAAATGCTGGCCGATCATGTACTCACTACATGAGTCTCCTTGGAGGCCTTGGCAACAGCATCCCCACGTTCTGAAAAGTACCTGCCAGAAGCAAGGAGAATGCCACAGAAATGTGTGTTCAGGGAGATTTTTCCCACACACCCTTCCCCAAGTCTCCCATCATCCTGATGGAACTGCATAGCTTTGGGAGTCCTACAGAAAGGTCCCTGCAGCCCCCATGCAGGTCTTCCAGTTGCTCTCACTTGGAAATAGTTGTCTGGAAGGCTTCCACTTTGGTCTTGACAGCATTTACTCTTTCCAACACCTTCTCCTGTGGTGACATGGGAGGCAAGGAAAACTTGTCATCTCCTCTTTTCTTCACTCACCATTTCCCTCTTCCTCCTTTTTTTTCCCCCCTTGATGGTACTGGGGTTTGAACTCGGGACCTCACACTTATTAGGCAGGAACTCTACCACTTGAGCATGAGCCACAAGCTCCTGGCTCGCTCTTCCTTTTTATTCATGCCCAGCTCCTATCATTCCCAAGTCTCTCCAACTCAGTGTCTTCAGTCACCCTTTTCTCACCTGGATTGCCACCCCGAAATCATTTCCATCCTCAATCTTTGGGATCAGGTGCTGGATCCATGTGATCACCTATGTTAAGGGGTTAAGGGAAGGAATCATTCAACACACCTACTAGGTTCTTCCTATTATGTCACTTCCTATTAACAGCTACATTTAATTGAGCACTTATGACTTATTTATCTCATTCAATCATCACAGCAACCTTCCAAAGTATATAGTCTTATGGTACACATTTAACAGATGAAACATGAAGTCACAGACTAAGTTACTTATTTAAGGTTATCAGCTAGGAAAGACAGAATTAGGATTTGAATCCAGTTTCCCCTTGGGCCCAAGCTCTTAAACCAACTCCTATGTCTTATCACCTCCATTGTATACCTGACACAGCACTAGTTTCTAAGTTATACAGGTGATATAGCATAGTTTCTGGTATCATTGTGATACCAGAAGTCTAGCAGAATAAGGAGAACACAGGGTATCTAAACCAAAGGCACAGAAAGAAATTTCCTTATTTAGGACCATGTCTCTGAAAGAGACCAGGGCTTAGCCTTGTTTGTCTTCTCTTCCCACATCCTCCCCCACCACTGTCCCCCATTCCCAGAGTTACCAGGATACATTTCTCTTTGAGAGTCCACACTTCTGGCTTCACCAGAGCAAGCAGGGCCAGGACCTTCTCATTCCCGGGGAGAAAGCCGCACTTAGGGACTGTGAGAGAGAGGGGATTCAGGCCTTTCCCGTCTAGTAGTCAATGGGTCACTTCCCCTTCCCTAGTCACCAGGTTACCTATTACCTTCTCTCTTCTCCTGCTTATCAGTTTCCATCTAAGACAAAAAGGGGAAAGTAGTTTTAGAACAGTCATAACTTGAAGGATTATCATCTCTATTGGAAGTCCAAGCTCTATATCTTATGTACCTTACCTCATCATCCTTAGGTGGGGGATCTGGGATAGGGATGTCCAGTGGAGCTCGGAGGGAGGTCAGGTCAGCCACATTGAGGGAGTCCTCCTGCACGGAGTTCACTGTCAGGGGATGCCCAGACTCTTTTCCTCACCCAGAGTTATGGCCTTCCCTCCACATATTTCCTCTGATCTCTGCCTCCCAACCTAGACATAGGCCTCACATCATCCTAACGTTCCCAGTCCACCACTCACAACTGTTCTCTGCATGCTGAGCCCAGTTGTTAGCTAGAGAGGGTGGTGGAGGGGAAAGAGGTTATGGAATGGGGCAGAAGGGGTCCACAATACTCACTTGCAAGAGCTGACTCAGGTATATGATTTTCTGTGGCAAGAATCTGTAGAGAAATTCTTCAGCCTGTGGGTTACATTGCAAGGGTAGTCATAGAAGACACCCAATGAGATGTGTGAGAAATAGGACTGGACAGGCCCTTGGAAATCATGGAAATGAAGGGACTTGCCCAAGTTGGTGAGGGGCAAAACCAAGGTTAGGACTGTGGTATTCCTGCTTTGTCCAGTCAAAAGAGGGGAAGGGGAGTGGCAGAAGGGAGAAGAGTCCTAAGAGGGGTAAGACTTAAGATGAGTAATTAGGAGCTTATCTTGGGTGAAGGTATGGTAAGGAAAGTAGGGACCAAGTCTAGGGTGAGTGAGTGAGTGAGTGAGTGAGTGAGTGAGTGAGTGTGTGTGTGTGTGTGTGTGTGTGTGTGTGTGTGTGTAGGGAGGAGGGGTGTCTCTGAGAGACTGTGACTTTCAAGGACTGCAGTAAGATTTTGGGGCAATTCTCTTGAATTCAGAGGCTTACCTCCTGAAAAAGATTTTGTCTGAAGACATCCACCTGCACAGAGAACAGTACCCGGATTCTGGTTAAGGATTTCTGTTGTAAAGAGTAAGATCCCACCCCTTACCGGGGTGCCCTCCAACTATGGTAAGACCTTTTCCACAAGCCAGTTTTCTCCGGAAGACCCAGCTCAGTCCAGACTGGCTAGAGGGGTGAATTTGAGGATCCCCGGGCAGAAGTGAAAGCCCTAAAGAGGGGTTAGGGGAGTTCTCTGGCAAGGCCGTGGTCTCCTGAAGCACATAGCTTGTACTCCTTTAGAAGGGTTCCCCGACCCCTTCATGCCCTCCGGTTCCCTATTACCTGTTTGCGAGCTTCTCCGCTCAGGCGGACCCCACAAGGCTTAGCCATGCTGCTCCAGTTGCTAGATCACCGGTCTCGGGGCTGGCCGCCCCGGCTTTCGCTTTCACTCCCCAGGTCCAGGCCCGCCCCCCCTCAGCCCCGCCCCCTTTCTTCTTTTCCCCCTCCCCCTGGCAGGCCACAAACAGTAGTTAGCCCCTCAGCCATTCCCAGCCAGTTGCTAGTAGGAGGGGCGGTGCTGGCTGGGTCACCAGCCCCGAGGCTGTCCGAGGGCGGGACTAGGGAGAGTGGGACTGCAGAGACTGGAACAGCGGCTGTCCCTCGGAGAGGGGCGGGGCTTATAGCGAGGACCGTCCCGGGGAAGGCTAGGGAGGGGGGGCGAGAGGAGTGGGAGAAAATGAGAAAAGGTGAGGCTCCCCGAGAAGGGGAGGATACCAAGAGGGATCCGAGCGAATGGGGCGGACAAGGGCTAGCAGAATGTGGAAGGGAGCAGGCGCGAGGACTTCCCAAGGAGGAAGCCTTGCCTAGGACAGGGAGGAGTCGGGGCGGGAAGCGCTTGAACAGGTCTAAGGCCGGCCAGAGTTGGGTCCTCGGTAAGGTGGGACTTCCCCGGTGAGCACCAGAGCAGAGCACAATGACTGGAATAAAGAGAAGAAGGCTTTTGAGCAAAATAGGCTAATTCCACGTGGAGGACCTCGCGGAAAGAACTGAGCTAGTCAGGAGTAAGGCGAGGAAGAGCTCTTTAAAGAAAAATGCTGGGACGCGCTGAGGGAGGAGCCAGGAGCTATTTACATCCTCATTGGTGGAACCCCGCCGCCTTTCTTGGCCACACCCCCTGGCTTCCTGACCGCCCCCTTCTTTAACTTTGAACTCCTCCCCTTCCTCTGAAACTGGGTTACAGTCCCGCCCTCCTTCCTAGTACTTCCTGTTCCCGGCTAATTCTGGCGTTGGGCTAGGGGCAGGAGAGTGACCATAGGCTCAGTGACCCCCGGCGGCTGCGTGGAGCGGGTCTGACTACCAAGCCGGGCGCAGGCGGGTGGGGTGCAGCCTGCGCCGGGTCCTGGCAGGCGGCGAGGCTGGGGCTGACTCCTGTCTCGGGATGCCGGGGGAGGAGGAGCGAGCCTTCCTGGCCGCCCGCGAGGAGCTGGCGAGCGCCTTGAGGAAGGATTCTGGGCAGGCGTTTTCCCCGGAGCAACTCCGGCCACTACTGGCCTCCTCTCTGCCACCAGCCGCCCGCTACCTGCAGCTGGATGCCGCACGACTGGTCCGCTGCAACGCGCATGGAGAGGTGAGGCCAGGCCCGCCTTGGAAGGGGGCATAGGTCCTGAGGCCAGGACTGGGATCTCACATCTGCTCTCTGACTGCTCCCAGCCCCGAAACTACCTCAACACACTGTCCACGGCCCTGAATATCCTGGAGAAATATGGTCGCAACCTTCTCAGCCCTCAGCGACCCCGCTACTGGCGCGGTGTGAAGTTTAATAACCCTGTCTTTCGCAGCACGGTGGATGCTGTGCAGGTGAAACCCTTAGACCGTATAGGAAGAGGGACTAGACCTAGACCCGGAATTGGCTAGAAAGGGGTTGAGGCCATGTTGGATGGGGAGAGGTCGGGTCCTATTGCCAAAGGGTCCTACCGGTTGGTGATTGATTGTGAATGTGTGGCAGGGGGGCCGGGATGTGCTGCGATTGTATGGCTATACAGAAGAGAGGCCAGATGGATTGAGCTTCCCCGAAGGGCAGGAGGAACCAAATGAGCACCAAGTTGCTACAGTCACACTGGAAGTAATGCTGCTTCGGACTGAGCTCAACCTGCTGTTGCAGGTGAGATATTCCTCCAGTCCTGAGGTCTTAATTACCAGGCAGGGGAGCCCGAACTAACTTAAGCCAATTGGAGGACCCCAATGCTGCTGAACCATGGGCCTAGTCCACGCAGCAGTCTGGGCGTTCCTGCTACTGTTCTTCTCCCTGTGAATGTTAGGGGAGCAGAGCTTAGCGCCAGAGCCTTGCTCTGGGTGGGAACTCTTTTAATCTTATTGCAGAATACTCATCCAAGACAGGAGGCACTGGAGCAGCTGCTTAAAGAAGATGATGTAAGAAAGAGTGCTGTTAAACAAAGGGAAGAGGAATTTTGGGACTCTGTGCCCCCCAGCCCTTGCCCATTTTCTGCTCTTTTTTTCCTCAGTTGCTGCAGCTTTCAGAGTTTGACCCCCTACTGAGGGAGATTGCTCCTGGCCCCCTCACCACACCTTCTGCCTCAGGTATTATTGGTCCTACATGGGACAGAGTAGTAAACTATATTAATGAAAATTTGGGACCTTCCACTATCTTTTTGCATCTTTCTTTATACCTTTTTTGAGGGGGGGGTGCAGTACTGGAGTTTGAACTCAGGGCCTCAGGCTTGCTAGGCAGGCACTCTACCACTTGAGCCACTCCACTAGCCCTTTTTTTTTTTTTTTTTTTTTTGGTGGGGCTGGGGTTTGAACTCAGGGCTTCATGCTTGCAAAACAGGTACTCTACTGCTTGAGCCATGATTCCAGTCCACTTTTGCCCTTGTTATTTTGGAGGTGGGGATCTCACGATCTATCTGCCCAGGCTGGCCTTGAAGCATGATCCGCCCAATCTCAGCATCTCAAATAGCTAGGATTATAGGTATGAGCCGCTGGTGCCGGGCTTCCTTTGCAATTTTTAAGAAATTAAAATTGTTTCGTTGGGCCCAGATGTGCTGAAAAGTAGTCTTGTGATTTGCCCTAGTCCATAGCAGATTTAGATTTAGCCTTGTCTTTTTTGTTTTTTTAATCATTTTTACATTTACTCACATGTGTGTACATTGTTTGAGCCACCTCCCCTCTCCCAACCCCCCCCCCGGCCCCACCCCTTAGCCTCCTCTTTTTAAGAAAAATGTTCTGGGGCTGAGGAGATAGGTTAGTATTAGAGCACTTGCCTAGCATGTGTGAGGCCCTGGGTTGGATCCCCATTGCCAAAACAAAGCTGTCAGAACAAAGATGGTAACAAAGATGATTCCAGAGTTTCCACATGTGGAGAAAATGTTGATACTTGTCTTTCTTTGTCTGGCTTGTTTTGCTTAATATGGTGTGTTCTGTTTCCATCCATTTTCCTGTAAGTAACAAGACTTCATTCTTTACGCCTGAATAATATTCCATTATATCTGTGTATTGCTATGTATTTCTTTTTAATCCATTCACCTGTGATAGACACCTAGGCTGATTCCATGTTGTGGCTATTGTGTATAGTGCCACAATAAACATAGGTATACAGGCTAAAAAAAACTCCTGTTTTCCAGGCTCCACTCCTGGTCCCTGCTTTCTCTGTGGCTCTGCCCCAGGCACACTGCACTGCCCAGACTGTAAACAGGCCTCATGTCCAACCTGTGACCTCTTGTTCCATGGACACCCATCCCGTGCTCATCATCTCCGTCAGACCTTGCCTGGGGCCCTCCAGGCCACCCACTTAAACTCTAGGTTAGAGTCTTTCTTCTTGGTAGACGTGAAATTAAGAGACCTTAAGATCAATTGAATATCTATTATGTGCCAAATTTTGTGTTAAAAACTGTTTACTAGAGAATAGGCAATCAGTCACAACTCTCAAAGAGATTACAGACATATACACCAAGTAAGTGGCAGTCACAGTAAGATAGTGTGCAAATTATTACAGTGTGCAAATAGTTATTAAGTGGGTACAGTCTAATCTGAAGGATCAGCTCAATCAGTTGGTAGTATTTAAACATCAGGTATAATTAAGGCCTTATGTTAGGGATATCTAACTGGAAGAAGTGAATTATAAACTGTCATTTAAATGTTGAACAGACTATGGGTATGGAAGTGTTCCAGACAGAAAGGACACTTCCTGTCTTGTCATGTGCAAAGGCCAGAGTCATATGTCATTACGTAGGATATGGGAGATGCCCATGAGTGAGGGACCCAGGCACTAGCTCCCACCTAAGCAGTCCATGTCTCCTTTTCTATTACAGTTTACCTGCTTCATCCCAACCACGGCCCCACTCAACCTCCTTGCTGGCCCTGGGAGACAGCTCTCTTTCTTCCCCTGATCCTGCAAGTGCCCATTTGCCCTGGCACTGTGCTGCATGTGCCATGCTAAATGAGCCTTGGGCAGTGCTCTGTGTGGCCTGTGATTGGCCCAGAGGCTGTAAGGTGTTGGGACTGGGGATTGAGGGTCCCCAAGAAACTAGGGGCCTAGAACCTGAGCTTGCACGGGGCCGGTGGGCCTGCCAGAGCTGTACCTTTGAGAATGAGGCAGCAGCTGTGTTATGTGCCATATGTGAGCGACCTCGGCTAGCCCAGCCTCCCAGCTTGGTGGTGGATTCCCATGATGCTGGCATTTGCCCACAGCCCCTTAAGGTAACCTGTTCCTGGCCTTGTTCGCTCTTATTTACACCTGTAACCTCAGGTCATCCTCCACTTCTCTGTTCTCTATTTTCCTTTAGTTCCCCCAATTCCCTATATTTCCATTATGAACCTCTGCTACTCAGTCAGTGGTATAATTCTCTCTACCTTCCCAGCAGGGTGATACTTTACTCTCCTCTGCCCAGACTCAAGTCTGGTACTGTATTCACTGTACCTTCTGCAACTCGGGCCCTGGCTGGGTGTGTACTATGTGCAACCGGACCAGCAGCCCCATCCCAGTACAGCATGCCCCCCAGCCCTATGCCAGCGCTTTGGAAAAGGGACTCCCAAAGCCTGGGCCCCCACGACGCCTCAGTGCTCCTCTGCCCAGTTCCTGTGGAGACCCTGAGAAAAAGCGTCAAGACAAGATGCGGGAGGAAGGTCTCCAGCTTGTAATCATGATCCGGGTGAGGATTTGGTCTGGAATGAGGGGTGGTTGAGCTGGTGGGGGAAGGAAGATGCTGTAGCTTATTAATAGGAGTTCTTATAAAACTTGTCATTGGAGCCGAGTGCCGGTGGCTCATGCCTGAAATCCTCGCTACTCAGGAGGCAGAAATCAGGGGGATCACGGTTCAAAGCCAACCTGTGCAAATAGTTCATGAGATGCTATCTCAGAAAAACGCATCACAAAAAAAAGGGCTGGTAGAATAGCTAAGCAGTAAGAGCGCCTGCCTAACAAGCCTGAGGCCTGAGTTCAAACCTCAGTGCTGCCTGCCCCGCCCCCCCTCCCCCAAAATTGTCACTGTTAACAGCAGCTGACTAAAATTGAATACTTCCAAAGGGCAGTTATATGCTATGCACTAGTCTCATGATCAATATATCTGAGCTCAGCCACTCTGCTGTGTTGGATCAGGCTGAGCGTGGATGGAAGGTGCCCTTCTGATGAGCCTTCTGTCTGAGTTCCTTAGGAAGGGGAAGCTGCAGGTGCCTGTCCAGAGGAAGTCTTCTCAGCTCTACAGTACTCAGGCACCGAGGTGCCCCTACAGTGGTTGCACTCAGAGTTGCCCTACGTACTGGAGATGGTGGCTGAACTGGCTGGACAGCAGGACCCCAGACTGGGAGCCTTTTCCTGCCAGGAAGCCCGGAAAGCCTGGCTGGATCGTCATGGTAACCTTGATGAAGCTGTGGAGGAGTGTGTGAGGACCAGGAGGAGGAAGGTACCAGCTAAGCTGGAGGTGGGATGGGGTTGAGGGTCATAGAGTCTCTTACTCTGTCCTGCTTGCTTTTGTCTCTTCACTCCCTTTCTCTGCTTCAAATTCACAGGTGCAGGAGCTCCAGTCCCTGGGTTTTGGGCCTGAGGAAGGGTCTCTTCAGGCATTATTCCAGCATGGGGGTGATGTGGCACGGGCCCTGACTGAGCTACAGCGCCAGCGCCTAGAGCCCTTCCACCAGCGCCTCTGGGACAGTGGCCCTGAGCCCACCCCCTCCTGGGATGGGCCGGACAAGCAGGTACTGGGGGGAGGCCAGGTGCCCAAGAGCCCAATTAGAGGGGCACAAGAAGACTCAGGAGAAGGATCCCTGGGATCTGACAGCCACTTCTCTTTCTACCTCAATGACATTGCAGAGCCTGATCAGACGGCTTTTGGCGGTCTATACACTCCCCAGCTGGGGCCGGGCAGAGCTGGCACTGTCACTACTGCAGGAGACACCCAGGAACTATGAGTTGTTGGATGTGGTAGAGGCTGTGAGGCACAGCCAGGATCGGGCCTTCCTACGTCGTCTGCTTGCCCAGGAATGTGCTGTGTGTGGTTGGGCCCTGCCCCGCAACCGGGTAAGCCCTTCCTCGCTATACCTTGTCTTAAATTCTGTTACCGTTGAATCCTCACCTTACCTTTTTCTGTCCCTGACTTCTGTTCTGCAGTTGCTCAAATACTTCTGAAGGCTTATGAGAAGGGGAGAACAGGAACATGTTTCCCTGTCCCTTTGTATTTATCTATTGATTTATTTTTGGCAAGACTAGGGTTTGAACTCAGAGCTTCACACTTGTAAAGCAGGCACTCTACTGCTTGATACCTCTAGTCCATTTTGCTCTTCCTCTTTTGGGGATGGGATTTCAGGAACTATTTGTTCAGGCTGATCCTTCCAAGTAGCTAGAATTACAGGCGTGAACTACTGGTGTCTGGCTCCCCTGCCCCATTTTAAAAATGTGTTTTTATAGGGCTGGGGGCATGGTTCAAGTAGTAGAGTGCCTGCTTAGCAAGCACAAGGCCCTGAGTTTAAAAAAAAAAAGGTTTTATTATGGAAAATTTAAAACACTATGTTAGTTAGCTTTCTGTTACTACAATAAATATCTGAGGTAATCAGCTTACACAGAGAAAAGATTTTTTTTGGTTCATTTCAGTTCTAGAGGTTTCAGTCTGTGAGCTGTTGGCTCCATTTCTTTGGGCCTGTGGTGGCACAAGTGGGAACATGAGGCAGAGCAAAACCACTCACCTTATAGTTAGGAAGCCAAAGAGGAAGACAGAGATACCAGGATCTCCCAGTCTTCTTCAAAGGTGTGCCCCTTGAGCTAAAGATCTCTCAGTAGGCCCCACCTCCTGAAGGCTCCACCATGTCCTAATAGCACCATCCTGAGGAGCAAGCCTTTATTATGTGGCTCTTTAGGGAATACTTAAGAACCAAGCTGTAGGGCTGAGAGTGTGCCTCACTGCAAACATGAGTTCAAACCCCAGTACTGCCACCCCAAAACCCAAGCTACACCAGAGTAGAATACTGGAAAAAAATTGTATAATGAGTTCCCTTATACCCCATCTCCACCTCTCTATCCTCACTCTATCCTCACTCATCAAGTTTCAGCAATTATCAGTGTATGGCCAATCTTTACTTCATCTACACACACTGAGGATCATTTTGAAGTAAATCTCAGGTGTCATAGTTTATAAATATTTCAGTGTGTATCTCTGAAAGGTAAAATGCTGTTTTAATACATAGCTATAATACCATTATCGTAACAAAAATAAATAAATAAATAAATAAACAATACTGATCATCTTCAAAATATCCAGTTAGTAGGACCAGACCCTGAGCCCCCACTTAATCTAGGTCAGAAGTGACAGTTCTTTTGCCAAAAGCAGTCCAGTTTAGTTAGGTTGGCTCTGTATGTTTTGTTTTTACCTTTTGTTTAAGGATAATTGTAGATTTGCAGGAAGTTGCAAAATAGTACAGGAGACTCCTATGAACTCCTCATCCACCTTTCCCTAATGTGACATATAATTATAGTGCAATATTAAGACTAAGAAATATACATTGACAGTGTTAACTATAGTATAGATCTTGTTTTTTTTTTGTTTACTTGTATGTGTGTGTAGTTCTTTGCAATTTTATCCCATTTGTAGATTTATATATCCATAACCATAGTCATGATAAAGATGGTAGCTATTATGGTGGTACTCAAGAAGCTGAGGCAAAAAAATTGGGAGTTAGAGGCCAGCCTGGAGACAAAAAAAAAAAAAAGATACAGACTGTCCATGCCACAAAGGAGCCACCTTGTGCTACTTCCTATAGTTGTGAACTTCCCCCACTGTTCACCTAAAAACCACTAATCTGTCCATCTCTGTAGTGTTGTCTTTTTCAAGACGTTGTTTGTATGTTTGCCTTTAATTGAATGTGGATGCTGTTAGAGACACTGTTCCTTTTACTTTAGATCTTGCCATTGCCTATTTTCCTCCATTCGACTGTCTTCAGACATTTGGGTTATCTGCCTAGCATCTGTGGGCACTTGAGGTTGGCACTCTAATTAACCCCTGCTCAGTTAATTAGATTCTGGTTTCTCAGTGGACACCTGACTACTGACTCTTTCCAGGGCCAGCAGCTGTGCCTTTTGAGCTCCCTTTCCCTTTTCCCTCTCTCTCTATAGATGCAGTCCCTGATTTCCTGTGAGTGCACCATCTGTCCTGACTGCTTCCGCCAACACTTCACCATTGCCTTGAAGGAAAAGCACATCACAGACATGGCGTGCCCTGCCTGTGGTCGTCCTGACCTCACTGATGACACACAATTACTCAGCTACTTTTCCACCCTTGATATCCAGGTACTTCAGACTCTAGGGTTCAGGTGCCTTAGGCTTTGAACAGGAACCCCACCCACCCATTGTCTCTGCATCTTGTCCCCAGCTCCGAGAGAGCCTAGAGCCAGATGCCTATGCACTGTTCCATAAGAAGCTGACTGAGGGTGTGCTGATGCGGGACCCCAAGTTCTTATGGTGTGCTCAGGTAAGTAGCCTGACCAAAAGAGCTGACTATGGGGCAGGGGCTGATGCCAGGTCAGTCATCAGATAGCTTTGTGGCTGGGTGCTGGTGACTCACACCTGTAATCCTAGCTACTCTGGAGGCAGAGATCAGGAGGATCACAGTTTGAAGCCAGCCCAGGAAAATAGTTCTTGAGACCCTATCTCGAAAAACCCATCACAAAAATAGGGCTGGTAGAATGGCTCAAAGTGTAGGCCCTGAGTTCAAACCCCAGTACTGAAAAGAAAAAAAATAGCTTTATGTTCTTATACTCACAGTGCTCCTTTGGCTTCATCTATGAACGTGAACAGCTAGAGGCGACATGTCCCCAGTGTCACCAGACCTTTTGTGTGCGCTGTAAGCGTCAGGTGAGTCACATTCATCCTTTCAGAAATATTTCCTAAGCTATATGTATTGAAAACTATTGAAAAATGGGAGATGGGAGGTAAAGAAGTAAGGGAGAGTAATGGAAGGGGTTGAATGAACCAAAGTAAAGTATACTCACAGTGGGGATACACTGAGAAACCCCTTTGAACATGGACTTAAATATTAATAAAAGACAGGACTATAAAATAGGTACAGTGTCTGTCAAGGGGATACTAGTAGAAGGGGGGAGGGTGAATGAAGAAGATTAAGGTGAAGGGTATATGGTGGATGGGCTTCGTATGCCCATATGAAATAGAACAAAGAAACCTCTTCCAATTGCTTTAAGTAGGGTGGGAAGGGGATTAAACGGGAGAGATGGTGGGAGTGATATAACACATGTCACGATGAATCCCTCCCGTACAATGAATATATATTCTTATAAAAAATTATTTAAAAAAAAGAAACATTTCCTAAGGTACTACCAAGTATAGTGTTAGATTCAGGGAGTGTACTAGAGGGCAAAACAGACATGAGCTCTGAACTTAAAGAGCATACTAGGTAGGGAGCCAGGCACAAGGAGATAGGGAAAAAGGGAGGGAAAAGGAGGGAAAGAAGAAAGAAAAGGAAGGGAGTAGAGGAAGGAAAGGAAGGGGAGGGAGAAAATAATTGTCCATAGGCACAAGTTCTCTGAAGAAAGCAAGTAGAAATCTGAGATGAAGAATAACACCATGGACCTATTAAAGATAGAGGGATCACACAAATCTCTAAAATGTTTTTTCTTTTCTTTTTTTTTTTTAACCAGTACTGGAGTTTGAACTCAGGGCCCCAGTCCTTTTGGTTTTAGTTTGTTTTTCAGATAGGGTCTCATACTTTTGTCTAGGCTGACCTCAGACCACAGTCTTCCTATCTCCTTCTCCTGAGTAGCTGGTATTTTGAGCGTGTACCACCATGCCTGGCCTAAAATGCTTTCATTTAAACTCAGGCCTGAAAGTTAAGAAGAAGCCAGCCATGTAGAGAATATTTGAGATAGAAAAAACAACTCATGAAAAGGCTAAAGTCAGAAAAAGTGTTGTGTGGCTGGAGCCTTGAGATCAAGGTGGGACTGACAGGCAATTGGAGAAGAGCTAGCTGCCAGATCAGAAGCCATTGAGGCCTTATGGTAGGTTTTGCTTTTCATTCTGAGACTAAGCACTATCTTATTTATATTTTAAGAGGTTTAATGTTGGGTACCAGAAAACTTGCATGTATGTCATAAAACATGATAAAGTGAATACTTAACTCCCTGCCACCATACCTCAGAACTAGCATACTACCAATACTGTTAAAGTTCCCCAACTTCCACTTTGAAAGGTCTTTTGGCTGCATGAGGGAGAATAGGAGTAGGGAAGTGGAAGTGGAAGCAGAGAAACTAGTAATTTAAACAGCTAAAGCAAGATCTGACAATGGCCTGGAGTAAGATGATAGTAGAGATAAAGAAAAGGGATAGTTGAGACAGGTTTGGATAGTGAAAACAAGACTTAAATGAATATGAGGTGTGAGGAAATGAAAACCCAAGATGGCCCCTTAGTTTTAGGATTTGCACAGACAGTGGATGGCAGTGTCATAAACTAAAGATTCTGGATGTGAGTGAAGAGGCCAGGACATGGCAGAGAGCTTCCATACAAAGCCTGCTTTCCTTCTGACAGTGGGAGGAGCAGCACCGAGGACGGAGTTGTGAGGATTTCCAGAACTGGAAGCGCACCAATGATCCAGAATACCAGGCCCAGGGCCTGGCAATGTATCTTCAGGAAAATGGTATTGGTAAGGCCGCCCCACTTGGCCTGTCTGCCCAGTATCTGTCATTTACAGTGGCTCTCTTACTGAGGCCTTTGAGTTGCAACAGCAGTTCTAGCCAAGACCTCTTATCCTTTACAGACTGTCCCAAGTGCAAGTTCTCATATGCACTGGCCCGAGGAGGCTGCATGCACTTTCACTGCACCCAGTGCCGACACCAGTTCTGCAGCGGCTGCTACAATGCCTTTTATGCCAAGAATGTGAGCTCAGGGAATGGGAAAGGGTAACAAGGGTCAGGGGCTGCCATTGTGTTTGAGAGGGGGATGTCTAGGATATAAAACACCTTGCTCTGTCCTCTTTTCCTCCTTTGCTTACTCCGGATTATTCAATATTAAAATCTCCATCTCTCACCACCCCTCTGCCCTTCATGCAGGGGTTCCTGCAAGTCCAGTACCCTAACAGTTTTCAACTTTCCCATTCCCATCTGGACAGAAATGTCCAGACCCTAACTGTAGGGTGAAAAAGTCCCTCCATGGCCACCACCCTCGAGATTGTCTCTTCTACTTACGGGATTGGACTGCTGTCCGACTCCAGAAGCTGCTACAGGTCAGGAGTGGCCAGGCCCCCTGGGTTTACAGGCTGTGCAGGAGAAGGAGGCAGGGTCCAGGGTGGGCAAGAATGGAAAAGGCTGTCTGCTAGGAAGTACAACAGTGGCTGCATCAAGGGGAATATAACGCCCATATGTCTCTGCCCTTCCTCAGGACAATAACGTCATGTTTAATACAGAGCCTCCAGCTGGGGCCCGGGCAGTCCCTGGAGGTAAGTGTCAGACAAGCCTCCAGGAAGGGGAGATGATGTACTGGGCTCCCACTGTGTGGCGGGTAAAAAGAGGAGACTTGTGCCAAGCACTGGTGGCTCACATCTCTAATCCCAGCTACCTGGGATTAGACCTCTTGGTTCGAGGTCAACCCCAGACCAATAGTTCATGAGACCCCATCTCCAAAATAACCAGAGCAAAATGGACTGGAAGTGTGGTTCAAGCACCTGCTTTGCAAGCTCAAAGCCTTAAGGTCAAACCCTAGTCCTGCCGGAAAAAAAAAAAAAGGAGGGTTGTATGCCCTTTGGCAAATTCACCTCCTCAGGTCCTGTTTGTTCCTCCATAAAATGAGGGCAGTAATATCCACTTTGTGGTTAAGATATTTTACCTAAGGTATCATTAAAGTGATTGGCCCTTAACGCTGAGTTTCTTTTCACATTCTCAAATGATTATGATTCATTAATTGTATTTAATGAGACCTGCTACTTGCAGTAGCAAGTAAATTTAGTTTAAATTTCTACTAAGACAACAGAAAAGTATGACATAAGATTCTACCCTAGCCTACTTCTCGCCATCTAGATAGAAAATAACCATGACTGGGGATGTGGCTCAAGTGGTAGAGCTCTTGCTTAGCAAGCTTGAGGCCCTAGTTTAATCTCCACTACCACAGAAGAATAAGTTAACCAAACAGGAGCTAAATAACAACTAGTTGTGCTGTCTCAAGGGAGTATGTGATTATGGGCCAAAAGCCAGGCTGTATAAAAGTAGGGGCAGCAGACTCCCTGCCTCTGTATTAAGGGTGATCTGCTGCTGATGGTGTCACTATGTACCTCAACCAACATAGAGCCGGAGTTCCTGTGCTAAGTTCCTTCCCTGGAGGCTGCCTCCCCATGTTCCATGGATATATCCTTGTACTCCAGGGGCTTTGTGGTCAGTGGCTTCCTCCCAACAAAGAATTCCTTTCTTCCGTTACCCTTAGGTGGCTGCCGAGTGATGGAGCAGAAAGAGGTTCCCAATGGGCTCAGGGATGAAGCTTGTGGCAAGGAAACTCCACCTGGCTATGCTGGCCTCTGCCAGTGAGTACCAGTCAGGACTTGGAGCATGGTATTAGGGGTAGAAGGATAGTAGTGGTGAGGGCATGTCCAGGTACTAAGGTGAGTCTCTGGGAACAGTAGGTCCTGTAATGAGTGGGAGGGAGGAGGCTCTCTGGGTAAGGACATGGATGGGTGATAGCAGTCAGCATATACCTGCTTGTGCCTGTAAGTACAACACGCAGGTGGTGTTAGTCTTGTTTGTCTAAGAATCCTGATGCCCAGAAAGGTGCTAGGCGTACTCAGTTAATATTAGCCAGCAGAAAAATACTCTGCTCCCTTATCTCCCCAGGGCACACTACAAAGAATATCTTGTGAGCCTCATCAATGCCCATTCATTAGACCCAGCAACCCTGTATGAGGTGGAGGAGCTGGAGACAGCCACTGAACGCTACCTGCACATACACCCCCAGCCATTGGCTGGAGAGGATCCCGCTGCCTACCAAGCCCGCTTGTTAAAGGTAACGTCTTTACCCAGCCTTACCTGTGACTCCATCCTCCTGAAGTCACCTATCACAGCCTGTTTCTGAACTCCAGGCTTCCAGTATCATTATCCTTTCTCTCCTGCAGAAGCTGATGGAAGAGATGCCCTTGGGACAGAGTATCCCCCGCAGGAGGAAGTAGCTGAGGGCAAGGGTCCTGTTAAGGTCCCACAGTCCTGTTTGCTCAGAAACAGCTCCAGCACCAATAAAGAGGCATCTTATTGCCCAGGCTTCTTGGTGGTCCTTCTTCCTGGCCCCACCATCTAGGGGCACCTGGGAAAAGGGGGGGTAAACAAAGTTGTGCTGAAAGGGCCCCCTGCAGCCTACTCTCTGACCTACCCTGGACTCGGGGCCAGGAAGAAATTGTTCATGGGTGGACAAGGGAGGCCCTCCCCATCCAACCACCTGGCTGAGAATTCTTCCTTTCCTGCTTTCCTTTCATCAAATTCGGCTGGTATTTGAGGTCACCTAAAGTGTACAAAGCAGACACTAGGAGAACACAGACACACAGATGCCTCCGTAAGGAAGCAGCAGTATCATATAGAGAAAGTTAAGATACCAGCAAGTAGTGTGTGTGGGAAGAAGAGGACAGCCAGGCAGGAGCTGAGCCAACCTAAAGGGGCCCTCCTACTAACAGTGAACTGTGACAGTGAGATTCTTGGATGCTGCTTCCCTCTGGTGGTAACTGATTGCCCTGCAACTCAGACCACGTGATTTCTGGGAAAAGGACCTCTTCCGAGGAGAACTGAAACTTAGGGTGGGGACTATAGAAAGGGGTGGGGAAATCACAAAGCGGCCTGCCCAGGAGCTGAGCTGAGTTCTGCTGGGCCCCGGGACAGCCTGGAGAGCAGTTCAGGTAAGAGCAGCCATGGGAAGGAGTCAGCCTGGGATCTACAGCTGGAAGGGCCAACCTGACTGGAGGTGGGGGCTCCTTTGCTAGAGGGGAGAAAAGATGGAAGGCCTGTGAATCAGGAAGCAGGAGGTTTAGTCCGAGAGAGACTAGTAAGAGCCAGTGTCCTAGTCCCTTAGGCAAAAGGGGCAGAATCTGCTGCCAGCTTGTCTATGGAGGAAGGCTCTTAACTCAGCCTCAACTGACCCTGTTTGTTTTCTTGCCTTCTGGCCCTGCCCACCTCTGCTGTGGCTCCACCCTTGCCCCACCTACCTTTCTGGGTGAAAGGATGGCTTGTGGTGGTGGGTAGAGAGAGGGTTGATGAGTAAGGCATCTCAGAAGTAGACATTTCCTCTAGATGCTTGGGAATCTAGACAGACTCTCACCAGGAGCCGAACGCCAAGGGATTTCTCGTGTCCCAAAGTATGCATAAATGTGTTAAAATTAAGACCAGTGCCTAAGGCTTCCTTCCAGGTATCATAACTTGGGATGGTAAAAAAAAATTTTTTTTTCTAAATAATTGCTAGTGATAGCAGAAATGAAGTAGATCTGCTTCATAGAATGTTGAGATATATTTAGAGCCAAAAGAAGATGGATAGGTCTCTGTTAGGAAAAGCTGGCCTCAGTTAGCAGGGTCTAGCAAATACTCTTCCAAATTGTCAATGCTAATACTTCCTGCTCTTCTTACTTCCCAGGATGGCATCAGGCAGGGCACGCTGCACCCGAAAGCTCCGGAACTGGGTGGTGGAGCAAGTGGAAAGTGGGAAGTTCCCAGGGGTGAGCTGGGATAATGCAGCTAAGACCATGTTCCGGATTCCCTGGAAGCATGCAGGCAAGCAGGACTTCCGGGAAGACCAGGATGCTGCCTTCTTCAAGGTGAATGGCCCTGGAAACCATCATCCCCACTGAATAAGGGATAGGTTTCAGATAAAAGATTGGAGAGTAAAATCAACTGTCACTTGCAGACCCACATTCAAAAAATTCTTAAGGATTTCAAGATAGCAAGAGCAGAATGCAAACCGGGTGCGAGCCCATCTGAGCTCAGGGCCTGTGCAAGTGCTCGGGTTGCACGCCTGTGAAGCAGCCTATTGGAGGGACAGCTGGGATATGCAACACTTTGCCTCTTCTTCACTTCCTCTCTCTGCTAGGCCTGGGCAATATTTAAGGGAAAGTACAAAGAGGGTGACATAGGAGGCCCTGCTGTTTGGAAGACTCGTCTGCGCTGTGCCCTCAACAAGAGTCCTGAGTTTGAGGAGGTTCCTGAGAGAGGCCGTATGGATGTGGCTGAGCCCTATAAGGTGTATCGGTTGCTGCCACCAGGAACCCTCCCTGGTGAGTGTTCCCTTGCCTAACTGATCCCTTAGAATCAGCAAACCGGGGAGGAAGGATGGCGATAAGAGCCTTCTGAGAGAATGATAGGTCTCCCCGAGGCCCTTCAGAGTTCTGCCTTGTCCCTGCCTTTGGGGAGCTGCCACCCAGATTCCTTTTTGCAGTCCTGCCCATCATTTCATTGCTTTAAACCCTACCCTACCCTCTTTCCCTGTGTAAGGCCCTAGCCTTTCTCTTCTCTCAACAATTTCACAGCCCAGCCAGGAACCCAGAAATCACCAACAAAACGACATCTCAGTTCTGTGTTCTCTGAGAGGGAGGAGGATGAGGGTACCAGCAAGAACTTCACACTCAGTGACTCTTGCCTTCAGGACCCCCTCAATAATGTGAGAGCTCGGGAAGGGACTGGATGGGCCTGAGGGTGGGATAGTAACCAGAGTGAGAGTGGGCTAATGATAGACACTGTGTTTGTAGGAGATGAGGTCCAATGGGGTTGTAAGCCACTCAGACAGCGGGAGCAGCAGTAGCAGCAGCAGTAGCAACAGCAGCAGCAGCAGCAGCAGCAGCAGCAGCAGCAGCAGCAGCAGTAGTCCTGAGCCACAGGAAGGTACCACCTCCTCTTCCTCTTACATCATCTCTCCTGCTACACTCTGGCCTTTGGACTCCCCAGTCCCACTCTGAGTGACTAGTGCCTTTGCCTTCCTTCCAGGTGCTGACACTACCTCACTTCCAGGTGAGGCTGCCATTCAAGAGGATCCAGTGTCTATGGAGTATACACTCCCTCTAGACTCGGGTACTTGGCCTTTCTGATCTCTTCTCCTTTCCCCTCAGGTCTGCTTCCTCTGCCCTCTCATACATTGTCTAATCAGCCAGAGCTCACAGAAAACTGGGCCCAGCTTACCCTACATAGAGGCACTGGTCTAGTCATTGAGTATTCCATGCACTTGCAAAGCTTATACTCTATTCCTCAGACATCCACATTGAGACATTGATGTCTTTTTGTTCAACAGAGGCCCAATCTCTGGGACTTTCTTATAAACTGCAAGACTATGGACATCAGCCCTAATAGGGATAAATCCATATGTTAGCTACTGAGTGACAAGAAAGCCTAACAGGAAGCCCCTGGTCATAGGCGGTGGGGTATGAGGGAGATGTAAGGAAGGTGCCGCTGCTGCCCCAGCCCTACCACCTTTCTCATTGGCAAAATGAAGGCTCTGGATCCCAAGGAACTCCATTTCATTTTCCTAAAGCCTTTTGCTGTCAGGTGTACCGCTGGGGAGAGGGGCTGCTTCCAGCCTTCACACTTCTCCAGCAGCTGGCTCTTCTGTCCCCAGACTACTCTCTGCTGCTTACCTTCATCTACAATGGGCGCGTGGTTGGTGAGGCCCAGGTGCACAGCCTGGACTGCCGCCTTGTAGCTGAGCCCTCAGACTCTGAGAGCAGCATGGAGCAGGTGGTGTTTCCCAAGCCTGACCCACTGGAGCCCACCCAGCGCCTGCTGAACCAGCTGGAGAGAGGCATCCTGGTGGCCAGCAACTCCAGAGGCCTCTTTGTGCAGCGCCTTTGCCCTATCCCCATCTCCTGGAATGCACCCCAGGACCCACCTGGGCCAGGCCCGCATCTGCTGCCCAGCAACGAGTGTGTGACACTCTTTCATACCACCTACTTCTGCAGAGGTGAGGCTATTCCAGCTGGGAAACCTGAGACCCTACCCACTACCTTTTAGTACCCTTTGTGCCTGACTTGGTGGGTCCTGCCACCTCTCTGTCCACCAGCAGACCTTCACATAGCCTCTGTGTGGCATCCCTGCACTTCTGTGCGCACATCCTGTATGCCATATGCTTAGCCCTGGCAGCTCTCTCTAGCCAAGGTCATGGAAGATGGCGTTCCGGTGGAGTCTCGTACAAGAGTGTCACATTTTGGAAAGCACCATCACATTGAAGCACAAAGTAATTGTGTGACTGTTTACAGGCCCGTTAGCAGAGATTTTGTAGCATGTGTGGGAGAACCAGGACACTGTACCTACTCTGTCCCCGCTGCACCATGTCTGTCACACTACAGGCATCCCCTAAGGCTGCCCCTCTCTGCTATCCACTCTTGAAATTCTAGCCCTAGCCTCCACTCCACATTGAGTCTGACCATAGAAGTGGGCCTGGGAGCACAGGGGATGCAGAGTGGGCATTCGCAGGGCCATGGGTGCCCTAGTGCTGGGAGGGTGTGAGCAAAGAGGCAGCAGCCAGGGTTGCTGCCTGTGAGGACTCTTAAACTCTCCTGGCAGATAGCAGTAATCTGCTGCCTCAAAACATTCCTAAGGAAGGGGTTTCCTTTCGTGTTTGTATGAGGGTAAGTAGCAGCTTAGTTCCTAACATTTCTCCAGACCTACAGCTCCAGTCTCCACGTGCCCCCACTCCCATCGCTTTTTCCATCATAGGTTTCTTGATATTCCTTCCTTGTTTGTGGCCTTTCCTTTCTTCCAACTTTTGACCTTTTATCTTTCAGACTTGGCCAGGTATTTCTACGGTCTGGGCCCCCCACCCAAGTTCCAGGTAACACTGAATTTCTGGGAGGAGAGCCCTGACCTCAGTCATAGCCCACAGAACACTATCACAGTGCAGGTGAGCTCAGAGCAGGGCAGAGTAGACTGATGGGGAGGGGAAGTGGTGTCCTAGGAAAGGGGGATGCAGCCCCTTCGGGTAGTGCCTCCCCTTGCTGTGCTCACTGAAATGCCTCCTCCTTGTCTCTTCTGGCACAGATGGAGCAGGCATTTGCCCGACGTTTCCTGGAAGAGGTTCCAGAGGAGCAGGTAGCTGCTCAATTCCTGGAGTAGACCCTGGGAACCCACCTTACCTCTCTGTTCCTTCTGTCTCCTTTGGAATAACTCATTCTCCACATTGTTAGTCTCCCTCCCTTTGTGATGGTTCTCATGGCTGTCTGTGACTTATGTCTTTAAATAGTTTATTCACCCTGGCTGGCTGAGAACTCAAGGATAGTTTTTATTCTTTTAAAAAAATTTTGAAGACCAGGTACAATGACTTATGCCTATAATCCCAGCTACTCAGGAGGTAGAGCTCCAAAGGACCAAGATTCAAGGACATCCTGGACAAAGAGTTATCAAGAGTCCATCTCACCAGGGACTAGTGTCTCATACCTGTAATCCTAGCTACTTAGGAGGCAGAGATCAGGAGGATCACAGTTAAAGGCCAATCTGGGTAACAAAAGCCAGACCTTATCTCAAAAATACCCAGTACAAAAAAGGGCTGGCAGAGTGGCTCAAGAGGTAGAGCAACTGCCTAGTGCTGCAAACTCCAGTACTGCAAAAAAACAAAGACCCCATCTCAACAAATAAGCCAGGTATGGCAGTTCACATCTCTGGCCCCTGCTACATGTGTAGATCACTGTCCTGAATGGTCCCAGGCAAAAACTTGAGACCCTATTTAAAAAAAAAAAAAAAACCCAAAAAACTAAAGCAAGAGCTGGAGACATAGCTTAAGTGGAAGAGTGCTTGCCTAGCAAGTGCAAGGCCATGAGTTCAAATTCCAGTACCACATACATCATATGTGTATGTGTGTGTGTATGTGTGTGTGTGTATATGTATATATGATACGCCCTTTCATCTGGAAGGAACTGGGAGATTCCAGTGATAAGAATTGAGGGGAATTTCCTTTTTCCCCTAACCCCCCAACTCTAAAGCCCAAGCACTTTATATTTTGCTCCTAGGTCTTCACTAAAGATTTTAAATAAATTTTTATTAAAAGAGGAGTCAGTATTTGATTTATTGAGAGAAGGTAGCAGGGGACACAGTAACTTAATAGCTGGGTACCTGGGCCCCTTTACTCTCCTCACTCAGGTTCTAGCAGGGGTGCTGCCTGGGTTGCTCCTCTCAGCAGCCAAGATCAAGGAGAGGGTTAGTCTCCCACCAAGAGGGGAGCTGAACCTACAGCCAAACAGCTGAGCCATGGCCACCATCTTCACATGAGAATACCTGGGCTTCGCAGTTCATTGCCAGAAACCTCTGCTGTTGGCCTAACAACAGGCCTGGGCTTGGGCCCCATCTTGGAGGTCCAAATGAAGAGGAAACACTGAGGTTGACCTGAAACTATGGCCTAGAGGCCCTGGGACTTAAGAGGGAGCAGAAACTAGAGAGGGAAGAGTAGCTGAATCTCACTTGCTGCTCCTGCCTCTGTGGGGACACAGGCTGTCCCTAGTGCCTCTTCCCCCAGCACAAAATGCACTGCCACCGGACAGAAGAGTACTCCCAAACTGGATTCCTTGCTTCACCTGAGCCACATAAAAGAACCTAGCCTAGCCTGCCATGTCACCAACATCTGTTTGCTGAGATTTAGGGCTAAAAATGCGCTGACACTCTACTCCCTTACCCCGTTTCACTTTGTCACCAAACTGGAAGTTCTTCCTTCACAAGGCTACTTATCACCTAGTTTCCCGTGTTCTTACTTCCTCCAGACTTGTTCCAATCCAGGTCAATGCTCACCTGACTGCCACAGCCTCTAGTTTACCAATTCCTGCACACGACACCAGATTGGCTTTCTAGACTCCTTCCTGTCACCTACATAACCAAGGCTAAATGCCTAAACCCTCCTAGGATCCTGTTATTTCACTTGACTAACCTTGGTGCTGCCTCCTTGGACCTTTCTTCTTCCTTTCATCCCCCTGTACTCCTGGGAAGCCAAAAGCCTACACAAGCATCTGCACAAGCAGCAGAGAAAGGTACTGAGTGCACGGGTACACAAATCCTTTTGGGCCCTCAATATGCTAAAATGCTTCATGGACCTTCTTTGTTCCAGGTCTAAATTACTTGTCTTCTGTTTTCTCTCATCCCTACATCTAACCCAGCAGCACATTTTGTCATTACTCCTCCAAGAAATTGTTTTGAGACAGGGTCTCACTATGTAGCCCAGTTTGACCTCAAACTTGTGACCCTCCCCATCACCTCTGGCCCCCGCTACTACCATTTTAGTACCAAATCATCTCTTAAATCTCTTCTTTCTGCTTCCTTCCACATAGTCCCTTTCCACTCGTGTCTGCCTCCAGCCTATTCTCAACAGCACTTGAGATCCTTTTTTCTTTTCTTTCTTTTTTTTGCAGTACTGGGGCTTGAACGCGAGGCCTCACACTCGCTAGGCAGGCACTCTACCGCTTGAGCCTCTCCGTCAGCACTGTTTTGTGTTGGGTTTTTTCAAGATAGGGTCTCATGAACTATTTGCCTGGGCTGGCTTTGAAACGAAATCCGCCTGATCTCTGCTTCTGGAGTGGCCAGGATTACAGGCGTGAGCCACCCGCTGCCTGGCTAAGATCCTCTTAGTATAAATCTGATCATGTCACTCCTCTGCTCAGAATCCTCCACTGGCTCCCAATTCCCTCAGGGTAGAAGCCCAAATTCTTACAATGACCTCCAGCATCCTGTTACACAGCTCCCACCCTCGTCTTTAACCTCACCTATTGTCATTCTTCCTCAGTTGCTTTGCTCCAGGTTCCTTGAACCCACCAAACACATTTCTTCCTTAGAATCTTTTCATTTGCTTGTTCTTTTGTCTAAAATACTCCAGTCCTACCAAAAACATAAAATAAAACAAACTCTTCCTTCAGACAGGCCCCCTCTCTTCAACTATCATCTCTTTAGACAGGGCTCCCCTGTGTACCTTTCCTAAATAATTCTCATCCTCCTATGCTCATTGGTTTATTTCTCTTTATAGAGTTCACTGCTACTTCATGTATCCATCCGCTTATCTCTACTTCCTGAGAACAGGGACTCCTTTGTTCTTGCTGTATCTCCAAGGCCTACAGATGTACTTGGCACAGATGAGGAAAGTAATAGTTGTTGAATTGAATGAACGGATGAGTGAATGACCAAATTACTCTGTTCCCTGCTTACCTCCTAAACTAGGTTCTAAGCACCTTCAGGGCAGGACCTCCCACTTGATCTTTGAGCCCCAAAGTGAGTACAAGTAAACACTGACAACATAAGTACAGTGATTGAAACAATTTGTAAGCCTGTGGAAACCAACTTAGCCAAGCACAGTTGGAATGGGGATTGGGAACAGTTCAAGACAGCCAAGTTCACTATCAGGCTCTCACTGAGGAGCTGTGTGGCCCAGGAGAAACAAACAGTATGAACTTCTGCTTTGTCATTGTGAAGACAGGCCTCGGACTACACATCTAACTCCCTTCCAGCTTTGACATTCTGTGGTTGCAAACGTAGGGCAATTGCATATTCCTTTGACAAGTACTCATCTGAAAACACAAGATCCAGTCTCAAGAGCTCCCAAACAGAAGGGGGCTGTAAAAAGGTTAGCTTAGCTTCAACAAGAGTCTTAGAGGCAGAGTTTATGCTGTAGTCAAGGCAGGAAGGGGCATTTTTTGTGTGGGGAGGGGGACTGGGGTTTGAACTGAGGGCTTTATGCTGGCAAAGCAGACACTCTACTGCTTGAGCCACACCTCCAGTCCAGGACAGGGCATTCTAGAGGAAAGAAATGGCTTTGTAAAGGCAGTAGGCACCAGAGCAAATATTTATAGCTACAACCATATTAAATTTACACAAAGAATGTTTGAGACAATGCCTGTAATCCCAGTGGAGGTAGCCTGGGGGAAACTCAAAACACAAACAAAAGCAAAAACTAAAGTAAGAAGGGCTGGTGGCTGAAGCTTGCCTAAACACATGTCCCTGAGTTCAATCCCCAGCAATACCATTAGAAAGAGAGAGCGAGAGAGAGAACGAGTTGGCTTTTGTAGGCCAAGAATTGTGTGCTTTTTTCCTTCCTTCCCTCCTCTCTGTCTCCCTCACTTTCTCTTTCGTTCTTTTTCTTTAAAACAGGGGAGGCTGGCAGAGTACACTGCCTCCCTAACAAGCACGAGGCCCTGAGTTCAAACCACGAAAAAGGGTGGTGGGATTTCACTATGTAGTCCAGGCTGGCCTCAAACTGTCTGCCCTCCTGTCGCAGCCTCCCCAGTGCTGGGGTTACAGGCGTGGGCCTCCACACCCACTTTAAGATGGAAAGTTTAGGGCTAGCAGGTGGCTCAAGTGGTAGAGTACCTGCCTAGGAAGTGTGAGATCCTGAGTTCAAACCCCATGTACCACAAAAAGATTAGTAAGTTATGATATGTTTTCAAAAATCTAAAATCTAGTTTAGAACATTCACAACCCAAATGGGGCTCACCTTCAACCTAAGTTGTTCAAGTTTAGGAAATACCTATTGAGTCCCCGGATGTTTCCAGTAAGATTAACTTCTCCCTGGTTAACCGGCAGCAATGCCAAAGCTACCTACCTCTTTAGAACACGATAGGCCCTAGCTGAAAAGAGTACGGCTTAGAGGAATTTAGGGTTAAGAGAGCAGGGTCTATGCTGGGCGCTGGTGGTTCCTATAATCCTATAGGAACCTGTAGGATTATAATCCTACAATCCTAGCTACCCAGGAGGCAAAGATCAGGAGAATCGGGGTTCAAGGCCAAACCCGGGCGCGAGGGGGTGGGGGGCGGAAAACGGGTCTATTCAAAGACAGGTACCTCCCTTCATCATGGCATCGGGCAGTTGCCCCCGACATGACCCCACCTCCCCTACCAGTTGAGGCACTTTGTTGCCAGGGTCGCCGCCGGGCAGAGTCTGGCTTTGCTCCCAGCTCATTGGACTCGTTAGAAGTCTCTGTTACTATAGGGGAGAACGAGAACCCATTGGCCAGGACGCCTCACAATGCCCCCCGCGGCGCGCAGAGTTCTTGCGATTGGCTCGCCAAGGGACCCTGTAGCCTGGAGCCCACCCCCATGCTTGGTTCCTGGAAGGAGCGCGCCCCACCCACCCGGCTCCCCATTGGCTTGTCCTGGCGCCATCCTCCGAGAGCTGCTAAACGCTAAATCTCTGAGTTTGCGCTGGAGGCAGTGGGACTTCATCCCGCGGGAGGGCGACTCCACGAGTGCAAGCCTCTCCCGGGGCTTGAGGACAAAACCCCGCTGTGAGAGACCCCCTGCTCCCTCGAGACCTGCTCTGCGCCCCAGCCGGGGCTTCACCTGGAGGCCCGCATCCCCAACCTGGAAGCCGACCCTTAAGAGTACAGTAAGTTCGACGCACCCATGCGACTTGCAATCCGATTTAGGGTTGGCAGAGAGGAGCGTCCCAACTCCTGCTTCTCTGTTCAGTTATTCCCTTAATTTAACCACCAACTGTTGATCGCTTCATTAATTTGGCTTTTTGGGTCCACTCGCCTCGCCACCTGCCTGAATCCTTACTTTTCTCCGTCGGTGCTAGAAATCTGCCCGAAAGCATTCCAATTGAGATCCGAACCCAGGAGTGGTTGGAGTTGAGGGTGAAATTTGGAGCGAAGATGTTCTATTATCCCAACGTGCTTCAGCGCCATACCGGCTGCTTCGCCACCATCTGGTGAGGGCGAGGCTGGCGGGTATGTCGGGAGTTGTGCCCAGGGACCCCAGCCTGACGCTCACCCTCCATACCCACCTCCCCACCCGCTCCAGGCTGGCAGCGACACGCGGCAGCCGGTTGGTGAAGCGCGAATACCTGAAGGTGAACGTGGTGAAGACCTGGTAAGGCACAAAGGGAAGGGGAAGATCTGGTGCGGAGGTTAGGGGAGATGCAGGACTGTGAGGCTGTTCTCATGCAGCAATAACCCGCGTTGCTTCCTCAGCGAGGAAATTCTCAATTATGTGTTGGTACGAGTGCAACCCCCGATGCCCGGCCTGCCGCAGCCCCGCTTCTCCCTCTATCTCTCCGCCCAGCTCCAGATTGGTGTGGTCCGGGTCTATTCTCAGCAATGCCAGTATCTCGTAGGTAAGGCCGGAAACCTTAGAGGTGGGGCACAGCTGGACAGTCCAGTCTGCTGCCAGGCTGGCTCTCTACCTTGCCCATCCTGTCCACAGAGGACATCCAGCACATCCTTGAGCGCCTGCACCGTGCCCAGCTCCAGGTCCGCATTGATATGGTGGAGGCTGACCTGTGAGTGTGCCCGGGAGACTGGGACCATCCAGACTTTACAGGAGCACCTACCTGCCTGGCTTCAGCTTATCTCAGCCTCTGTTCTTGACATCTCACATTCCCTACCAGACCTAGCCTGCTGCTGCCCAACTGCTTGGCTATGATGGAGACACTGGAAGATGCTCCAGACCCCTTTTTTGGGATGATGTCTGTGGACCCCAGACTCCCCAGCCCTTTCAATATCCCTCAGGTAGGACTCCCTCCCCTGGAACATCTCACAGACATGAGCTGACAGTGCAGAAGGGGATGTGCTGTCCCTGTGTCAGACGATGTAGGGTTTCAGGGCAGGGGGCATTGACGATGGGCCCATTTAGGCAAAGCCCACTGTACTTGCCTAACTCAGGGCCAACCTGATAGGATGGTCTCCTCGCTGGGGCAGGTCTGGTCCCCACTCATTTCCACTCTGCTCCCATGGCCAAGGCTGTATGTCAGAGCCTCATCTATGCACTGGTCTTCCTTACCTCTGTCTTCTAGTCCCAACACCCTACAGCTTAATGTTGCCCCATTCCCTGGTTCCCCTCAAACAGTAGCTCCTACATGCAAATGGTACCCAAATTTGGATCTCTGTGCCAGTTTAAGTTTAATGGTAGCTATACTCATACTTCTCTCAGTACATCCCCTAGAAATCCTTGGCTCCCAAACACCAGTCTGAACCCTGTGTCTCTAAGATGCCACATTCACTTTTTTGCTTGTGCAAAAGAAATTTCCCTAGTCCATAATGGTTCACCCTACATTCTCTAGTCTACTACGTATCCTTGCAGACCTAGCTCAAATACTGCCCTTTCCCATGAAGTCTTCTTTTTTTTGGGGAGGGGGGTGATACGGAGGGTTGAACTTAGGGCACTTGATAGGCAGGTGCTCTACCACTTGAGCTACTCCACCAGCCATTTTTTGTGTTGGGTATTTTCAAGATAGGGTTTCTCAAACTACTTGCCTGGTTTGGCTCTGAACCTCCTGATCTCTGCCTCCTGAGTAGCTAGAATTATAGGCATGAGCCACCAGCACCCAGCTCCTGGGAAGTCTATCCCACTCTAGCCAAAACCAAAATGCTGTCTGGAAACTCAGTACTTCACTAGGGTTCTATCTTTTGCATTGACTCTTATTGGGGTCATAAGCAAACTTGGCTCACCATTAGACCATCCACTCTTTTTTTTTTTTTTTTTTGTGGTATTGGGGTTTGAAGTCAAGGCCTACACCTTGAGCCACTCCACCAGCCCATTTTTTGTGATGGGTTTTTTTGAGATAGGGTCTTGCAAACTATTTGCCTAGGCTGGCTTAGAACCATGATCTTCCTGATCTCTGCCTCCTGAGTAGCTAGGATTACAGGCATGGGCCACCAGCACCTGGGTAGACCATCCACTCCTTAAGATCAAGAATCTTTTCTGTTCATTTCTGTCTCCCACATTTGATACACGAATTAGTGCTTTTTGCACAAATTAACAGAGGTTAATTTAGCAGGGGGTGGGTGGTAAGAGCAGCTGCACAGCTGCCTGCATGTTAATGTCAATGCCACAAGTATTGGGTGTAGGACTAGGGGTGTAGCTTAGAGCATTTGCTTAAAATTCATGTGGCCCTGAATTCAATTCCCAGAATCACGTGAAGGAATGAATGAATGAAGGGTATTAAGGAAGACTATCATATCACTGTCTGTCATCTGAACGTTTAGAAGTGGGAAAGCTGAGGCTAAAACTGAACCCTGTCTTTTGTTCCCAACCTCTCCCCAAAGATTCGACATCTTTTGGAGGCTAAAACTCCAGAGAGAGTTCCTGAAGAGACTCCTGAAGTCCCTACAGAGCCCAGAAAGCCAGGTCAGCAGAGGAAAAACTTTTTGGTGAGAGGCATAGAAAGGCCCAGGAGCTGAAGAAATGACCATTTTGAACGTAAAGAGTCAGGCCCTATGAGGGGCGCTTTGTAACCTCATTACTGTCTCACAAGTCCTATGAGGTCAGAATTCTTATGTCCATTTTACACACGAGGGAAGCGAGGCTCACAGTGGTTACGCAGTGCACTTGGGGTCAGGTTGCCAGTGACTGGCCTGGATCTGACTCTTGGCTTGAGTTCAAGCTTTTGCCTCACCGTACTGTGTACGGAAACTTAGAAGCAGCAGGCCAGTATGTCTTTTGTACCCATTCAGACAGGATCTTGGTCACTGTGCTGCCTCCTGAGGCCATCACTCTCCAGGAGGCAGAGCCCATCCGCATGCTACCGGTTGAGGTGAGTTGTCTCCTTGCATGTGGACCTTTAGGACCAGCCCCTTGCATCTGCTTCTCTCAGTCCCGCCTCCTGTCTTGGTTTTCCCACTCCCTGTCTGGCATTTGAGCACCCAGTGGGCTTCCTCGGGCCTGGCCCTGAGGCATGCCTCTTGGGTCTGCTTGTCTATTTCAGAAGTGGACTTGAGACCCCTTGCTTTTCCTCTCTCCACAGGGTGAACAGGATCTCCCAGAGGTCAGCCGCCGAGACCTGGACCTGCTGATTGCAGAAGAAGATGAAGCTATCTTGTTAGAGGAACGTCGGCAGGCCAGGCTTCTCCGGGAACGCAGGGCCCAGCTGGCACTGGAAGGTCAGACCCCTGGCATGGGCGGTCGGGGGTTGAGCAGTGCTCCTGTCTCTTCTCTTCTGCTCTCTGAATTCTGATTCTCTCTCTGCAGAGCCCAAGGAAGAGCCCCGAGCCCTAGAGGGTGACATTGTAGTCCCCCCGATCTCACCTCCAGCTCCTGCACAGTAAGGGCAGGAATCCCTGGAGCAGGTAGGGTGTCAGTGCCAGGAAGAGTTTTCCTTATATCACCTATTTCCCCACAGGATAGAAGTAACAGGAGAGCCAATTCCAGGCAAGGTCTTGGGCCCTGAGGAGCTGAAGCCCATAAGCTGGGAGCCTGGAGCCCTACTCATTGGTGAGTGTCCACCATGCCTAAGAGCTTTCCTGGGGACACCTGCTGCAGACAAAGGCCCTGTATCTCAGCCTGCTGAAGGGGGCACCCTGTAGCTTTTTGTCCTGGTGACTGCAAGAGTGGAGGGGCTTGTGGAACAGAGCCCCTCTGGGTATTGTTGCAGAAGTGACACCCCCACAGGAGCTACGTCTGCCAGTTCCACCTAAGCCAGAGGTAAGGAGTATCTTTACTGAGCCTTGTGTTTGCCCTCCCCTCCTAGAACTGCCTCCCCCAACCCAGGGCCACTGCTAGCTTACATGGGGCCTTTGTGCACATCAGTAAAAGATGCCCTTTTCCATACTGCCTGGTGTGGCCCCTCTTCCCAAATGGGAACCCTCATGCAAGGTATGACCTGCACAAGTGTGTGATCTTGCTCCAAGCCCTTTCTCCAGGTACCCCCTAGAGATGGAGTGTGGGGCCACCAGTAGTCCACCATGCTGACAGGAAAAGGAGTGACGGTAGCCTTGCCCCTAACTCCTTTCCGACTCAGCAGAGGAGGCCCCCATCTCCTGGTAGCCCAGCTGTCCGCCGCCGCCGCCGCCGCCAGTTACTGTTCTGGGACAAGGAGACTCAGATCTCCAGGGAGAAATTCCAGGAACAATTGCAAACCAAAGCCCACTGCTGGGAGCCTGTAAGTGCAGTCCAGACTCATCCCGGGAGGAAGGGGGTTGCAAGTCAGGCTGAGGGGACCACTGGAAATGTGATGACTCCCCTCACTCTCCATTCTGTAGAGGATACATAATGTGGGTTTGCACATACATGCATACCCATGGCTCCCAGGTTTAAGTCTTGTCTTTTAGCAACAAGCAGGATAGAGGTTTAGGATCATGAACTTGAAAGTGGGGGAAGTCCAGAGGCCCCAGAACAACGCACAGCAAAGAGGTGAGTACATTCCTCATAAAGGGGTTTCTGGCCTTCCCCCACCGTGCAGCCAATGGTGCAGCCTCCTGAGAAGATGATCATAAGTCCTGCAGAGCTGTTCCGAACCCCAACTCTCTGTAAGAACGGTGGGAGTTGGGCAGGTGGGATCTCCAAAACCCAAATTCTTCTTAGTGTCCCTTGTAACTCAGATCTTGCCCCTTTGTTCTAAGCTGGCCAGCTACCCCCAGAATTACTGGCTTTCTGGACCCATTGTGCCCAGATACCCCCAAGAGTACTCAGGCAAAGACTGCCCCTGGAAGCTGAAGAGGAGGCAGCAGCTGAGGCAGAACGCAGAATGGCTGAAACACTGAGTGAGATAGAGGTAACTGTACCAAAACTCTGCTTTGCTTAAGCTCCTGGAGACTTGTTTTCCTGCCAGAAGTCAAACAACAGTGTAGGTTCACCAGACTCACTCTGGCCTAAGCTTGATGCTTGTGATGCTTGGTCTCAGTTCTTGTTCTCTCACCTACAGGTCCTGAGGGAGGCCCAGGAGCCTAGTGGTCCCCTCATGCTGTCTTCAGGTAAGCACTTGGAGAAGACAGGATGTTGTACACCAACATGCTAACCACTGTCCCAGGAAACTAGTACTCTGTCAGAGCAAGGGTGTAAGGGTAACAAACGAAGTGCAGAGGGGTGGTTATTCTTTGTGATGGTACTGGAGATTGAACCCAGGGCCTTATGCTTGCCAGGCAAGTGTTCTAACACTCAGTTACATCCCCAGTTCTTCTGATTTTGTTGAGATAGGGTCTAACTTTGCCCAGGCTGTTTACAAACTGGTCTTCCTGCCTAGCCTCTTTAGCAGCTGGGATTACAGGCATGATACCACTACATCCAGCTTTGATTCTTTTCTGTTTTCCCAGATAGGTTCTTTTTCATGTCAATATGGGCTCTGGTATCTGGTCAGATTTATTGGCCATAGGTCTTTTCTTGTTGTTGTGGGTTTTTTGGCTGTGGTGGGGTAGAAGTCGGGGCCTTACATGTGCTAAGCAAGTGCTCTACCTCCAGCTGGGCCACACAGTCCTGACTGCTTATATCCAGGCAGATTCACTCTTAGTGCCTTCCCTCAACCCAACAGAGCTCTCCCTAGAAGCAGCTGAAGAGGAGAAGTCCCGTATCAGCCTCATTCCCCCAGAAGAGCGGTGGTAAGCAGCCAGACCTGGCCAGGGCTAAGATGGCTGTGACCCTCGTCACTGTCATGGCTGTCACCTTCCCTGCTGACTCCCATGTTATTCTAGGGCCTGGGCTGAGGCAGAGCAGCCAGAGCCCCCTGTATTGCCTGTGGTGCCTGAACTCCCTGAGGTGCCTGTAGAAATGCCTTTGGGACTGCCCCCACAGCTCGAGCTGCTCTCTTTGGAGGCTGTACACAGGTACAAGGGAGGGGTCCCTCAATAGGGTGGACCTGGCTGGGCCTCAGCTTATGTTTTTTTTGTTTGTTTGTTTTGGCAATAGTGGGGCTTGAACTCAGGGCCTCACGCTTACTAAGCAGGAGCTTTAACACTTGAGCCACTCTGCCAGCCCCAGTTAATGGTTCTTGATCCCTTCAGGGCAGTGGCACTAGAGCTGCAGGCCAACAGGAAGCCTGACTTCAGCAGCCTGGTGTCACCTCTCAGCTCCCGCAGGATGGCTGCCCGGGTCTTCTACCTGCTTCTGGGTGAGTGTGGGCACATGTGAGTGCACAAGTAGAGTGGGGACACACAGGCCAGAGGCTACTATAGAAACTCCCTGTGATTCGCCTTCTCCTTTCTTGACCAGTGCTCTGTGCACAGCAGATACTTCTTGTGGAACAAGAGAAGCCATATGGGCGCCTCCTGATTCAGCCGGGGCCCAGATTCCACTGAGGGTTGGGTCCATATGCAAGGCTGTAGGAAGCCAGCTTCATTAAACTATGTCCTGCCTCACTGGGCCCTGCCTGTCTCATTTCTGAATGCACATGCTCTCAGAGCTACTGTCCAAGCAGAAAACAAACTGCCTTTATTACAGTATGTCATGATTCCACTTGCAATGCATCTGGCCCTGGGAGCATCCCTGTTATGCAGCAAGCAGGGCTGAGTCCAAGTGGATATGAGGCCCAGAATCTTTGGTAAGGCATGAGTGAGCTAGAATTGGGCTGAGAGGTGGTCTTATGGCTTGGCAGGCTCTACTCTCTGGCCCGGCTGCAGCCTGTAGTCTACGTGAGGCCCAGCATGGCCTGGAGCTCCTGAATCTTGTCAGCAGGCAGAGAGCCCAGCGCTGTATGGAAGCTGTCGGCATGTTGTTTGGCCAGGAATGAGAGGAGCAGCAGCAGTGCAGCCTTGGTGTCTGGGTAGAGAGTACAGAGGGAAAGGTCCCGGGGAGGAATGGATTCCTAAACCCTTATTGCCCCACACCCTTTGATCCTTGTTTTCCCCAGCCCCTGGCTATGTCTGCCATCCTCACCTGGTGGAATCTTGTTGTCTGCCAGAACGAGACTGTAGATCCGCAAGAGCTCAGGAGCCACATATACTACCTGTGGGGAAGGAGTGGTTGACTCGGGCAGTAGCAGCCTTGGGCCCCAGGAGTAGGGTGGGTGGTTAGGACCAAGGAGACAAGTCCCCTATAAGGGCTATTTGAACCCAGTGTTGATTCACAGACGTCCAAGACAACTGTGAACATGAGAAGTAACAAGGAAAGATGATGGTAATAATTTCTTTTTGGAGGGGATAGAAGATGTGTGACCAAAGATCATTAGTCATAGCCTCAAGACCAACAGAAGTTCATATACCCAAGCACTCTTCTAACACAACAGATTCTAAACGATCTGGGATATGAATGCAAACCTAACTCAGAAATCAGTTTATCTATGACTCAAATGTACCAGAGGCACCCGGGCTCCATAAAGTGCAGTTTCCTAGCCCTGATCTAAAAATTTGACCTAGGAAAGTTGTGACTACTGACTCAGCTAGAGAGCAGAAAAGGAGCTCCCTAAGGAAAAATGCTACATGGAGAAAGGAAGCTCCTCCTCCCCCATTATAGTACTGGCTGCTAATCCTTGTGAACAAACTGGAAAACAGAAGATCAGGAAATGTCTAAGGGCAGTTGGAACTCATCCTGCATCAACTACAACTGACATCACCTCCACCTATCACTAAGCCTGGAGCGTCACATTCCCCCATGAGGGCTGCCAACATCAATGTTACCTGGTCAGGGCTGCTCTGATACAGGAAGCTGAAGAGGTGCCCTATGGTGACCCACTCTTCCAAGTCTTCCCTCAGTGGCAGGGCATGCAGCAGGGCAGCCAGCACCTGGACACACAGATGCCTCAGACTCATTTGTCTTGCTCCCTCTACTACCCTCCTCTTCCAGGTTCTGCCTGATGCCCCCTTCCCTCACCTGGGGCTCTGGTTTCCTTGTCGGACTGGCCATTAGGAGGCGAGCGAGAGCCCCACAGATGTTGTCCCGGACACGATCATGTCGCTCACGTGCCAGAAGGGGCAAAAGGAGGCCGAGTAGCTTAGGGAAATGGCTGGTCCACAGTCAAGGAAAAGGCAGGTACACACACAGGTAGGCCTCACCCATTCCTGAGCTTTGGGGACACTCCCAGCCCCGCCTTCCCTTCTACGAGCTGAGGATACTCTTGAGCAGGGCGGCCCCCATGTTCTGCAAGTACACCCAACCCAAAAATGGCATTGCTCCGCACCTCAGGGTCTGCCTCCCGGGCAGTGCTCAACAGCACAGGGAGCAGCCGAGACACAAACTGAGCTGAAGCAGCACCTAGACCCTGAATGGACTCTGCCAGTGTCCCCACTGCAAAGGACTTCTCTGCCACTGTGCAGCCCTGCTTCTGTGGGGGGAAGACAAGGGAGGAGTATAAATCAGCCTGGGATTGGGACACTGCAGGCTCAGGCACTGGGCACATAGGGAGACGGGTTTGAAGCCAGAGGATGGAGCACTCACCGTCTTACACAGCAATAATGGCAAGAAGCCAGCAAAGAAGGGAGCAAAGGCTTCTCCCCCAGCTGCAGCTGCCAGGGCAGGGATGGCCTCTCCAGCATGCTCTAGCAACATGGCATCGTATTCAGCCTGTGGAGCCAGGTCAGGGTCTGGAGCACCAGGGCCAACTCTGTGGCTATGTACCTCCCCACCCTGCTTCACCACTGGCTGCCAGTGTTTCTGGGGTCTGCCCTTGGTTGATGGGACTGCCCCACTCCCCAGCTGGGCCTTTATTCAGCCCTGGCCCTTCTGCTCCCACCTATCACTCTGAGCCTGCCCAATCCACACTGCTCTCCTTTGAACTCCCACTGCCTTCCTGGGGATCAGGGTTGTGTCATTCTGGCCATTACCAATCTCTCTTAGTAGCCTTGGCTTCCTCGGGCCAAGCTGAGCACAATCTCCACCCCAGTCCTGGGAAGATTACCTGGACTGCCTAGCCTGTCTTCATCTGTAGCTCTCACCTGATCGTCATCCTCTTCCTCCTCATTGGAGTCCTGACAGGCTGTCTGTGGAAAGAGGTAGCTCACCTGAGCCTGGGCTCTCCTGCCCCCCTCCTCTCTATGGGGATGGAGGGGTATATGGAACTAGAATTGTAGCCTCTTACTATCCACTCCTCTGAGGCCTGGCACATCCTTTTCCCCAGAAACCCTGCCCTGCTTACCTTCCTTTGCAGCACAGCCTTGAGCACACTGCAGAGTTCAGCAAGGCGCCCGGGGGGCTGCAGTGTCAGGGCTCTACAACTGCGCAGCACCCCAGTCAGGGCCTCCAGCACGGCCATCACCACCTGGCGCTCTCGTTCTCCTTTCACTGCCTGCATGTAGGATGGCACCACCCGAGCCAGGGCAGCCTGCAGAGCTGTGGACATTATTGGTCAGGGCCTGCCCCCTTCCCTGAGCTCCCAGCCTGGCCCGGCTTCCCCTTCTCACCTGCATTGTTGGGTTCTGAGGGGCAGCTTTGGCAGGCCTTGTGCAGTGCACAGCAGAACTGACCCAGGGCCTCATGGGCTGCCTTCCGCACATTCAAGTGAGGACACTGGAATGAGGAGGGGAGGTGTTTGCCTGCTCTTGCTCTGTGCGTAGTGAACACAGCCCTAGCCTGAGCATCCCACTGACCAACTCACCTCCAGCAGTTTGAATACTTCTTCAAAAACACTCTCCATGTATGGAAGGAAGGCAACACTGTGGACAGACATACAGCAATGGGAAAAGGGCTCCCAGGTGGGGTTCCCAGTGCCATAGAAGCGCTGATGCTTACCTGGTGTTCACAGAGATCTCTCCTAGCGCAGCGCAGGTATCTTCCTTCTCATCAAAGAAGGCATTCTCCACACTATACCTAAAAAAAAGTGGGAGGCAGCAGTGAACAGCTACCAGTAGGAGCATATCCGGCAGTGGGTCCCTTTCTAGAATCAGATTGCAAAGGACGCACTCCTCCAATACCCTGAGATCTCAGAGTCATCGTCCTCTTCCATGTCATCATCCATGAGCTCTTCCTCTTCCTCCTCATTGCTCTCATCATCAAACAGAAGGAAGGAACTGCTTCCATCATACTGAGGCTGGATGGAGGAAGCACAGCAAGGACTTTGGCTCAGGTGGGCCCAGAAGAAAAATCCTATCACAGGGCTAGCCTTGACTACCTGACCCAGTGTACCCATCCTCTGCTCACCACAATGCCTTCAGTGGAACGCAGTGACAACAGCATGAGTGTGGTGATTTGTGGCAGGTGGGGTGCCAGGCCCTCACCCATCAACCCCGATAAGGCTGCAAACAAGCTGTACCTGGTGGAGGCAGACAGCAGTTGTACAGTGCTACCTGCTGTAGCCAGACAGAATGGGAAAGCCCAGGGAAAACTGGTTGTGGTCCAAAACCAGACGACTGGAGTCTGGGGCAGGGACTATGATCCAGTGAGTAGGCAGGAGGTGTATTGGGCAGGAGGAGGGGAACTCACGTGCAGCGCCGCAAGTCAGGGTCGTCTACCTGGTCACATAAGCCCAGCCCCAACTGACAGCATTCCTCAGCCAGAGGCCGCATGGGCTCCCCTACTGCTCGTGCCAGCACCCCCAGCGTCTCTGTGGTGACAAGGGCTCAGTTAGCACTGGGATACAGAGGTACACTAGGGAACCAGAAAGAGTAGTTGGGAGTAATCTAGGAATTCTAGCCTCCTACTAGCAACAATGGAGAACACCTTTTGTGAGAAGGAAGACACCCACACTGCCCTGGGGGAGATCTCTGAATATCAGGTGAGGTTAGCCTTTCCCTGGAGCTGGGAACTCTGCCTGGAGCACCTCACCTACCCAGACTCTGGATCTGCACAGGCTGAAGGTCTTCGTGGCCTGTCAATAGGAATTCCCGCAGATGCTCCATGATGGTGGGGAAGTAGGGCAGCAGAGAGGCTTGAGCAGCTGTGGCTGTAGGATACAACAGAATCAGAGCTGGAAAGGGGGAAGCCACAGGCTCTGGGTAAACTCTGTGCCCTTGTCTCCTGCCTCTTTCTCCTCACCAATGGCCCCCAGGGCGCTCACAGCCAGCTCCTTGGCCCGGGGGCTGCTGGGGTTCCTCAGAGGCTGCAGCACACAGTCCATAAGCTCCGGAAGGTAAGGCTGCACTTTGGGCCCTGTGGGAAAGGGTGTTCCTCTACCATCAACCCAGGTCTTCAACCTTCTGCAAGCCCACCACCCTCCAGACTGACCCTGTGTGTGGCCCTTCCACACCCTTCTCCCCATCACTGGCAGCAATTCAGGGAGAAAATACTCCGCCCTCTTTAGCCAAAGCTGCACTCCCCTGCATGCCCCACTGCCATCATTACCTAGGTTCTCCACAAAGTTCTCCAGGGCATAGCAGGCCTTGGCTAGGTGGTGTGTGTGCCCTGGAGGCACTGACTTCAGGTAGGCAAGGAGCAACGGCATTACCTCCCCTGAATAGCTGCAAATATGAGGCTAGGAAAAGAAGCAAGGGAGTAGGGGTGCTCCAGTCAGGTTCACCTGCAGGGCACACCCTTGAGTGCCAGTGGCAGCAAGAGTGACATGAAAGCTGAGGGAAGCTGTTCCTATGGACGTGGGAGATTGTCAAGTGGCAGCTGCCTACTGCCTTGCTGACCTGTAGGTTCTCTGAGAACTGGCCCAGGGCAAACAGTGCAGCGTTGCGCACAACCTGTGAAGGGTCTTCCAGGCCTTTACACACAATCTGCAGCAGTGGGGACAGCAGTCTGAATGGAGCAAAGGACAAAGTCTAAGAGGCAGGACCTAACAGCCTTAGGTTGATGAGTTCTCTTCATTTCCCCTAGGAAAACCAAGGGTTTCTCATCACTGGACAGTGGGTACCATCCCCTGATTCCTGTAGCTGGGAGGCCATTTCATTTATCTTCCAAACCAGGGTGCTTTGAAAGTGGGGAGAAATACTCTGGCTATTGATAATTAAGCTGGAACAATAAGCAAATCATGATTGCCACAGGATATATGGCCCTCCTCTCTACAGCCCATCTTACCCTGGGACAGGGATTGAATAGATACCTTTGCCTGATGTGGTCACCAGCTCCATCAGACAGTACAGCTAACACCAGGAGCCCAGCTTTGCGCTGGTACAGGTTCTCACTCCGCAAGGCCTCTTCCAGCATGGGCATCTAGGGGAGCACATGGCACTTTCCTGAAGCGTCCATTCCTGTGGTAACGGGCCCATCACATCTACCAAGGCCCAAACATCTTTGACCTCAGGGGACTAGGCATACTTAGGAGTAGGGACACCAGAAAGACAGCTATGCTTACCAGCTGGGGACAGAGCTTCTCAGGGGGAAGATGCAGTGCCAGCATGTCCACAACCTGAAAAAGGACAGGGAGATTGCTAGATTCCATCTCTGTCTCCTCAACCTCCCATAGCCACTTAACACCTCGTCCCTGCCCCATCCCACATCCCACCTGCACAGCAAAGTGCTTGGGAGTCTCCCCCATAAGTCCAATCTCCAACTCTTCCTCTTCAGAATCCTGGTCTTCAGGATCCAACTGGCCCATGGGTGGTTCAGCAGCCATAATGGGGAAAAGGGTGTGCAGCAAAGGAGGCAGGAGACGATTCTTAAGTATGGCCTTGAGAGGGAGAAAAGAGCAGTCTTCCTGAAAGTCTCCTTCCTCCTCTTTCATGGGCTCACATGAAAAATTCCAGACTTCAGCTACAAGGGATTCCAGCAGGAGAGTTCCAGTCTCCTAGATAGGAGCTCGGTTGAGGCCAGGCCAAGAATTGAACAGGGGTACTTTAGATTTTCGAGATGGACAGAAAGCCTCAGCAGTAAGACTAAGGGTAGAGGATGGGGGTCATGTAACACATCAGATGGCACTCACCTTACTCTTGACTTTGACCAAGAAGGTGAGGCAACAGAGAATACGTACACGTATTCCATCGCCCAGGCCCATGTTGCTAGCCACCTGCATAGAGACTAACGAGAATCAAAGACAAGCAAGAAAACTGCCAGCAAAACAAGCAGAAGAGCCATGCTATACAGGCTCACCTCCAGGCAGAATGTAAGGACCTCAAAGAGGTGGGGAGTGATGATGGGCACCTCCGACTCCAGCAGTTCATCCAGGGCCTCCAGAGCCTCACAGGCCTTTGCCTGACAAACAAGTCACAGGGTTACTATGCTCCTCTTAGGGGACCAGGCTAGATGTTCCCTCCCACCTGTCCTCACCTCATCTATGGGGATCAGAGTCTTCACAGCCACAATGAGCTTGGGCACCAACATCCGTGCAAGAGCCTGGGAGACAAGGGATGAACTGAGTGATAGAAAGCATGATGCAGCCTAATCTCAGGCTGGCACCTTCCTCACAGCCTACATTCTGAGGACAAGGGCCCAAGCACATCAGCCAGGCCCAGCCACCTACAGTATCCCCTTCTCAACCGTTAGGAAGAATTAAAGGCAGGGTAAGAATCTGAAGCAACTTGGAAGCCAGCAAGGACAAGGACATGAAGGCCAGAGGATACAGTCAGGGGAGGTGAGGGCCAACATCTTACCACATCATCAGTGCTGAGGTAGGGGGCCATGGTAGTCAGAGTGCGCAGGGAGTAGAAAAGCAGTCCAGGAGAGCCCACCTCACTAAGAGTGTCATTCAAAAGCCGAAGAAGTTCCTGGAGGTGGAGCTGGAAGATCTCAGGCTGGGAAGTCACCACCACACTCAGCAGCAAAAACCCCATCTGTCCAGAAATGAGGGTTGGGAAGGAAAAGTTTACATGGTTTATCCACTCTCTCAGTCCCTCCCTCCTGCCAACAGTGTAACAGTACCTCTCTCTCAGGCCTGTAGAGGCTATGAGTACTTTGCTGAAGAAGCTGCATGAGCTGAGGCCAGGTCTCCAGGCTTTCCTTTCGAAAAATGGTGGCTGCAAGCTGGGCCAGGCTGAGGCTCACAGAATGCCTGCAAGATAGGAGGTTTCTCCCACATTCGCCCTCCAATACCTTCCCCTGCACATGGTAGCCCAGCCTCAATAGGGTGTCAAAGAGAGAAACCTTCAAGAGGAATTGGTGCGTGAGACAGTAGCTCAAAGGGAGCCAAGCAGTACTGAAAAGTGTTCTGCAGAGTTCAGCTTCACTTAGCCTGAATTTCAGTCTCATTCTTCTGACTCCAGTTTGGCAGACTATCAGCACCCATTCTCAAGAACTTTAGTTTTCAACGAAGACTCTGAATTTAGGATTTAAGTCCCTGCCCTGTAAAGTCCCACCCTGGAGCTGAAAAGAAAGGAGAAACCCAGAGAGGTCTCAGTCTAGAGTCAGTTAGGATCCCCAAGGAATACAGTAGGCACTTACTCTGTCTCTGTCTGCAAGGCTGTTAGGATTAGGGACTTGAGGCTGGAAGACAGGCGGTAGGTGTTTGGTACCCAGCCTGCCCAAGAGTCGCCCTACCTTGGCCCCGCCCCACCTTAGGCCCCGCCCACCTCGTGCGTTGCTCAGCTGGCAGGCGTCTCCAGCGCGTGCTCAGTCTTCTACGGGTCAGCACCGCCGCGAACTGGCGGATCTAAGAGGAGGAGGCAGGCAAATGAAGATCCTGGCAGGAAGATGCTGAGCGGACCGCAGGGGAAGGAGCTGGGGCTTGACCAGTGGCTTACTGTGGGAAGCTCGTCAGGGAGGGGCAGGGGCCTCACCTGAGGGTCGGTGGCCGAAGTCAGTAGGTTGCAGAGCGCGGGCAAGGCGGCGGGGTCCCGAAGAGCGATCTGGAGCTGCTCGGTGGCCTGCGGGAAGGCGAGGGTCAGAATTGGGCCTTTCCCACAGTCTCCCGCTCGCCCTGGCCAGGTCCCGCCTGCCCCGTACCCGGCGGATGCGTTTGGTATCCGGCAACAGCAGCTCTCGTAGGATTTGTTCCAGGCCAGCAGGCTCCATGGCGGCAGCAGCAGAGCTGCCGCTACCGGGCGGGAGGGGGGAGGGACGGCACGTGGAGACCCTGTCACCTACTTCCGGCGGAAAGGGCGTTGCTCTGCTCCTCCCTGGTCGCCAGGGTGATTCAACGCACTTCCCAGAGCTCCCGTTCCGCGGCTTCCGATATGCTGGGCGGGAATACAGGGCCCTGGCAAAGTGGGTTCCCCCGGCCCAGAGTTCCCAAGCTGCGCTCATTCAGCAGCAACCTTTTTAAGGGACTTTCTCAGCTTTTTAAGGGACCGTGCCCCTAACAGTGGACTTCGAGTTTCTATAGCCAGACCAAAACTTCCAACTCCAGGATCCTTTTTCTTAATAAATTTTATTTTGATAATTGTAAAAAGAAAAACCAGAACCGAAACTAAAGGCAAATTAAAAAGTTCAAATATATACTCCTTATATAATAGAGATTTATAATTTCCAGGCCTTCTCTGGAGAAGTGAGGTCCAAAGGGCAGAGGGAAGGCAACACTGCCATTGCACAATTGAGTCACTCAGAAGAGAAGTTGTCAGGAGAGATCAAGGGGCATGAAGAAAGGGAGAGAAGAGCAATAGTTCTGCCACTCAGAAATCAGTCCATTTTGAGGTTAACATAGATATAACGGATGAACTTTAGGGAAGAAAAAAAGGAGATGGTGCCCAGCATGAGGAAGAAGACGTAACCAGTGAGTAAGGAGTAACCAAAGAACTCAACTGTCTGTACTGCCCCTGACATGTTGGAGCGCCGAGCATAGTAGAAAACTGAGTAGAGGAAGATGAAGAGGCCAGTGGAGCCAACACTCAGCACAGATCGCCACCACCAGCGGTAATCCTCCCCAGACAACTGGAAGTAGGTGAGTGCAATGGAGATGCAAGCACCGACACTCAGCAGGATAGCGAAGACAAAGAAGAGGATGCCATACAAAGTGTATTGCTCTCGGCCCCAGACTGTGGCAAAGATGTAGTACAGCTCCACAGAGATGGCACTGGGAAGAGAAGAGATGATACACAGCATTAAAGGGCTGTGCACTGCAGCACTGTAGCTAAGTCAAAATCCAGCCCACACCCTCCCATGATTTTGGGTCACTGTGGAAAGCCAGACCACTCACTCTCTGCCCCAGATTTCCTGGCTTTGTGGGGAGTCTTTTGCCTATGATTTCCTACTCTCATTTCAAGAACATCTTCCCTGATCGAATGAAAGCAAGGGGTCTTGTCTATATTATTTTGTAGTGCATTATCCGTCTGGCACAAAGAGGTACTCAGCAAACTGAAAGAGTAATCAAATGGGCTTTAGGTCCCATAGGGTGCCTGTATACACTAAACAGAAACCAGGTCCTGCAGGCGTCATGGGGCATAAAGCCCATTTGCTTACTCTTTCAGTTTGCTGAGTAGGAGAGCTTTACAAGTCAGATTCTCATATCTGAACTAACTGAAGCTTAGTCCTGCTTGGGGATAAAAGAAACCAAAATGAACTCTTACTGGCACAGCTGAACTAGAGATTATCACTGGGTTATGGTACTGGCTGAGTGGGGAAAGGAAAAGGTGACGTCAAGAACCAGACAGTGATGGCCATGGGATAAAGGAAGGATACCTGAAAGGCAGGAAGCCTCCAACAGTCATGTGGATGAGAGTTGACTTGTACCAGGGTTGAGATGGGATCTCCCGGGCGATATTCTTGGTTCGACAAGGTGCATCAAAGGGGCTTGCGTTGTTCTTCCCGAAGATGCCTCCAATGACAGTGAGAGGAAAGCCTACCAGCAGCCAAACCGTCAGAAGCAGCAGGATGGTGGTGGCTGGCAGAGCCTGTGTTGAACCATTGGCCCAATGCACTGAGTTCACCACACTCCACGTCAGGAAGAAAGGCACTGCAGGGATGGGTCCCCAGAGGGAAGGTCAGCACTAGGAGCTACATCCCTGGGGGCACCCACTCAGACTGGACCTAAAGGGAAGATGGATGAGCAACCTCCACTCTAATTGGCACACCTGTGCTCCTGGATGTCCATACAGAGTTGACTGCCTTAATCTCCACCCTTTACATCCCATGTTCTTTGTTCCTTATCTTGCCAAAACCTTCTTCCCCTATGCAGTGTCATCAAGAGTCAAGGTAGTTGCTTCATGATCTGAGAGTGACACAAATCCACCTGTCTCCAGGGGCTTGTCTTGGCACGACACTAGTTAATTGCCTGAGACATTCATATGGATTAAGGCCTTATTTTCAGAAAGTGTTGCTTCAGATATAAACATAATACAACATATGAATCAAATACATAAAACTAGAGACAAGCCAGGTGCTGGTGGCTCACACCTATAATCCTAGCTTCTCAGGAGGCAAGAGATCAAGAAGATCACAGTTCGAAGCCAGCCTAGGCAAATGGTTTATGAGACCCTATCTCAAAAATACCCAATGCAAAAAAGGGCTGATGGAGTGACTCAAGTGGTAGAGCGCCTGCCTAGCAAGTGTCAGGCCCTGAGTTTAAACCCCAGTACCACCAAAAAAAAAAAAGTGCGGGGGACCGAAGGATTCAGAATGCAAACTACTACTGCCTTTAAAAGGGCAATCTGGATTGAAAGGCTAGACTGACCCTACCTCCAAAATAAAAGATAGGGTATCAAAAAATGAATTCAAGCTGGTCACCAGTAGATAACACCTATAATCCTAGCTACTCAGGAGGCAGAGATCAGGAGGATCTTAGTTGGAAAGCAGCCTGGGCAAATAGTCTGAGAGACCCTATCTGAAAAATAATCAATACAAAATAGGCTGGTGGAGTGGCTTAAGCATTTAGAGCTAGTAAGCATGAGGCCCAGAGTTGGCCCAGTACTGCTAAAATAAAGAAAGAAAGAATTCAAGAGTGTTGCTTAAATATAACGGTTGAGGATACAGGCTTTAGATTCAGACTGCCTGGGTCTGAAATCTGGGTCATTACGTTTTAGGAGTATAATCTTGGGCAAGTTACTTAACTAGGCTGAAGTTCTGCTTCCTCATTTGTGCAACGGGGACAATATTACCTACTTCACCAGTTATTGTGAGTATTAAATGAGACGAAGACATGTCAAGTGCTTACCACACTGCCTAGGACATTTTAACAACTTTTAACTACTCAAAGAAATAGAAAGTACCCTTGAGGATGTAGCTCAATGGTGGAGTGCTTGCTTAGCATGCACAAGGCCTTGGGTTTGATCCCCCAGCACTGTAAAAAAAAAAAGCTCTTGGTCAGGTTACACACCTGTAATCCCAGCACTCAGGAGGCTGAGGTTGGAAAATTACGAGTTTGAGGCCAGCCTAAGCTACTTAGCAAGACCCTGTCTCCAAACAACAAAACCCCCATTCTTTTTGAGGGTTTTTGATGGTTTTCTTTCTTTCCTTCTTTTTTTTTTTTTTGGTCTACATTCTTTCTTCTACAGTCTCATACTGACTCTATTCCACATTCCATAGTGTGTTCTTAGTTCTTAAGTCCAGGCAGACCCACCAGGAAAGGGAGTCCTCACCAGAGAAGAGACTGGTTGTGAGAATGATGTTCCACACCCAACGCTCGCCTCCAATCTGCCGGTAGAAGTGGCTGGACACATAGCCAGAGATGCAGCAGGTCAGTGCATACAGCAAGATGGCTGCTGAGTTAATGGCTCCGTGACGGTGCACGTTGAACACGCCCAGCAATGCCATGACAATAATGCCTATAGGGCGGTAGTGGAAAGCTTGAGTTAGGTCTCACCTATCCCTCTTCTTGAAATGTCAGAAGAATCCACCCCCCCACCCCCAGATCCAGGGCCTCCAGCAAAATAATTTCTCCCAGTTCTGTTGTCCAGAAAACACACACACATCCTTATTAGAGCCACCATGGCCCTTGGGTCTTCCCCTCACCTTGGATAGAAGAGAAGATCCTTAGACCTCTTCTAACAACCTACCTACCCTTGAGAGAAATCCCAACCAATTCTTATCATCTCACCAGTGCCAAGGGCAAGGAACTGGGCACCCACGCCAAGTACAGCACAGAGCAGGCCACGGTATGGAGGGAAGCGGAAGACATCTGTATGGATAATTTTCCAGCCATTATCACCCTGGTCAAAGTCATCTCCAGATGCTCCAGAGGTGGTTTCCTCATCTAGGTTGTATCGAGCCAGGTCATTGCGAAGTACACGCATTAGAATGACAGCCACAAAACCCACCAGCAAGAACACAAGCACCATGGAGTTAATGATGGACAACCAATGGATTTCCAGTGTTCGGGGAAAGAAACCACCATCATCACCACGACGCCTGTCACTCCGATGCTCCACTGAAGTCTCAGACCAGCGCACACTATACGTGTGGGTAAGGCCTAGGAACTCATCAGATCTTAATCCATCCAAGCTGTGGGGCTTGACATCCCGCACCGAAACATTGGCAAATATAATTCGATCTCCATGGAATTCTAGGTGGAAGTCCAAGTGGGTCCAGAGTCCTATCTTGTGGCTATGTGGCAGGAAGCCACTCTCCTCCATGTAGCCCACAAAACCACGGATTGGCAGGTCATCTACCACAAATTCAAAGTAATACAGTTCCTCAATGGCCTGGCGCAGCTGTTCTACCTATAAAAGCAAGTCAGGAGTCAGTAATAAGGCCTCCCATGCCTGGGGTTATAGCAGGGTTTGTGAGTCTCAACACTACTAATATTTTGTGCTGGAAAATTCTTTGTTCTGTATGTGTAGGGGGACGCTGGCCTGTGTATTGTAGGATGTAGCACCCCTGGTCTGTATCACTACCTGCCAGCAGTACCACCCCTAGTTGTGACAATCAAAAACGTTCCCAGGTACTGCCAAATGTCCCTTGGAGAACAAAAAACTGTCCTGTTGAGCAAGAATCACTGTGTTAAATGCTAGTATGTTAGGGTTCTTCAAAAAAGAAAAAAAAAAAAAAGCACGTATGACTTTGACAGGGTTAAGCCCTAGAAAAAGGAGAGGAAAGGTGTGGAAAAAAAGACTGCAGTGGACTAAAGAGAAGTGCTAGGATTTGTTAATGAAAAACTGTGACAGGGAAGGTTAGAGAATAAAGGAGCTAATTGAGAAAGAGCCAAGAGGTTTATATGGAAGGGAAGAGAACTAGGTAGGAGTGATAGTTGGGATCTTATTACT